AGCAAGGGAGTTAAATGACTCAAAACGCTATAAAGAGAAGAAGAAGCAAATTAACTGTGTGACCGTGCAAAAATTTGTGAAAACTACGAAGTGGGGTCACACAGCTTACAAACTAACCAAAAAAACCTCTCATGTCACAAAAATATATCGGTGACCGTCTGAAATTTGAAGAACTCCTCCAGAAAAGTGCCCATTTGAGTGAAAAAAGACTTGGTGAAGAATTGCGCAGTCACATCCTTTGGACTGACGAATCTATTATTGAACTATATCCAAAATTGAACCAACAAAATGTTCGTTACAGGACAGAAAACAAATCGGATGTACCATCAAGAGCGATCCCAAAATTCGGGCTTAAAGTTATGGTAGCGGGTGGATTTTGTGCACGTTGCGTGACCCCTCTACATATCATACCAAAAGGCCAATCAGTCAATGCAAAGCATTATATGGAAAAAATATTACCTATCTATTTCGATAGCATGGGGAACAAGGAAATATTTCCGAATGAAAGAAAAATAGTTTTCATGCAGGATGGTGCTATAGCCCATACAGCAAAAGCGAGTTTGAGTCTCATCAAGACGCAAGTTTCAACGGTCTGGAGCAAGGGGGTGTGGGCCGCTAACGGCCCAGATTTGAATCCCCTGAAGAACCAGTGGTCCATACTTAAGGAAAATGTATACAAAGAGCCACAACCCCGAACGAGGGAAGAGCTAGTAAAAAAAAGTTCAAGATGTATGGAATTCGATTTCCAGAGGCACATTGGAAAAATTAGCACAGAGCCTTAAACAAAGAGTTGAGGGCATGGTTAAAGTAAATGGTAACAAGACCAAATACTAAGGTAAATATGTCGAACATTTTTTGTAAGTATCACGGGTAGTTTTTTTTTATACTAGCCTTCACTTTTTTACAGGAAAAATGGGATCGGACTTTATTAACACCCTGTAGATAAAAGTAAATATCGATCTAACACCAAATAAGATGACTGACCAAGTACATATTTGTATTTTTTACACACTTTGACACAAATGTCGTAAATTGCATATTCCAGTAGTTCGAGAGCTCCTCTGGATTGGATGATGATGGTGATTTACAACTTTTCCGCCTGCACAGACAGTGATCACAATAAATGCAACTGTTCGAAACTACCTCGTACACAGAACTGCAGCAGTAGTTCGTACGACACGTACTGAAACATCTAACCAAGTTTTTTTTTCGGTGAATGCCATTCCTCTCATCTCGAGGACCTTATGTCATGTCATGTTTGGGCACAGTTGTCGCTTTTCTCCTTCATTGAAATTGCACTCGTGTGCTCAAATCAAACCCAAATGTTGTCACTAATCCCCATCTTCTTTTCGGTCCTTAACTTTAACTTAAGCCCTTACGCTGCACACATTGCCTCGAGACCAAACCCTTAAATCAAAAATACTTAAGCAACCCGGCTCAACAAGACTGATCTTCTTAACACTAACGAACCGCACAACAAGAATCTGGTTCGAATAATCGGGTCTCAATTAGTTATCCTATTTATTATTGGGATATGTCATCAGCATGGGTAAAGTTCAACCAGATGCGATTTTGGGTATCACGTAGCATTTCAATATGCAAATTGCAAGTTTTTATTTAGCATGTGAGCATCTCTTAGGAGGAGATGCTCAATACTTGGATTATTGCAAACCACAGACACATTTATAGATCATCGTAAAACTGGGTTGAAAAAATTGCATAGGAAAAATATTGTTATCAGCGATTGCTATAAAACAGACGTTCTGACTCATCGTCATCCAGATGCATTTATAAATATCAGCAATAACCAGTGGCCGCGGAAGCCGTGGGACATTAACATTGCAGGATATGGGATGGAGGAGTTTATATAACAAAATAAGATGATGGGGACATCGAATAACCGTGGGGACATTGGGTGATATGAATAAAACCAGGGAAATCCTTTTTCCGGAAAAAATCGGGGAAATGCCCGTAATTATATGAATAAAAATTTAGGCATTTGCTTTTCCCCGAGGGAAAGGAAAAAGGGAATAGCCTTTCCCTCAACCTCAAGATTTTCCCTGGAGACGGGGACTTTTGTATGAATAAAACCAAGGTGAAAGCCTTTCCTTCAGGCAATCTCCCCAAAAATTACCGATCAGCTATTATGCTGACCCTAACTAACGGAATTACCAGTAAAACTTAGTTTTTAAGCATCTGCTGCACCTTTTATGAACGTTGGACACTAGTTGGACATGTTAGGGCCTTAAAACTTACAAAACAAGATTTATCGACAAAAATATGCAGATTTTTATTTGCTATCGACATCGAAAAAATGTACTTTATATTTTCATTAAAAACCTGAAAATGTTTTCTGAAACTTTTTTAAATTCAAATTTCGGGCTCGATATCCAACGGGTCAAGCTACCGGTATCTCCCAAATTGCATATTAAATGCACTTATGTAATTGCAAATGTTTAAAATTTTCCAAAATTTTTTTTTTGGAAAAATTCCGCTTTCGCTCATTTATTAATCTTTTAAGGGTCTATTGCGTGCGGGTTTTAAACTCGAATTTTCGTGTCTCAACTTTCCCTTCTTCCATTTAAAGGCGATTTTGAAACCTGTTCATCGCCGTAGGTTTTTCTTACAAAAATTAGATGATTTTTAGGTCTATACAAACTTAGGAAGTTAGAATTTTAATTTTTTTCCTGGTTAGGAAAATTTCGAAAATCTATAAAAATTCAAAAATAAGTTTGATGTTGGATATTATAAAACAACTGTCAACTGTACGACAACTGGGACTAAAATCGTACAAGAGTTTGTAAATTCCGAGAAAACTGGATTTTTTGGCTAGTATTTGAAGATGGTTTTTTCGGATTACTCTGATTGAGTTTGGAGGGTGTTCAAAAAATCAAATACATTTTCAAACACATGAAATCAAATACCTACACTCATATACAACACTGAAATTTATTTAATTTTTGCAATTCTGAGATTAGCCTGTACCATACCGAATTTCAGCTTTTTTAACCAACATCACAAACCAGTGGGGGTCACTAGGGGTACATTTCTTTAAGAATTTGATCAAAAACATGGTCAGAAATTTTGGAAAATGCATTTGTCTTAGTTGCGATGGTATTATTTTAATTACATGTAATTAAAGTTAGGGGAATTGCCCGAAACCAGGGGGATTTGCCTGGCGAGAAAGGCAAAAGTTTATTCATACGAAAAGGGACAATAGCCTTGACCTGAGAGACTTTCCCTCAGGCAAATGCCTTTCCCTTTTCCCGTTTCCTTGGAGGATTTCCCTGGTTTTATTCATACCAGTCATTGAGTGATATGAATAAACTTAGGCAAAAGCCTTTTCCCTGAAATTTTATGGAAATCCCCGATTTTATATGAATAAAACTTGGGGTCCTTCCTTTTGCCGAGGTCAGGGAAAAAGGCAAAAGCTTTTACCCAATCCTTGACCTTTTCCCCCGTCACGGGGGAAATTGGTATGAATAAAGTTAGGCAAAAGCCTTTTCTCGTACAGCAATTGCCCCTAAAATGCCGATCAGGTCAAACCCATCCCCGATGCCAAGAGAAAAGCTCATTCCGGTAATAATCCGGTGGAATTGGCATTACCAGGCGATGGCTATATATGTGTGACTACCGCCATGGTGGTAATTAATTTGTTACCGAGTGGTATTAAATTTGCTACCGAGTGGTAGAATATTTCTTACCGAGTGGTGGTAAATTTCTTACCGAGTGGTTGTAAATTTATTACCGAGTGGTATTAAATTTGTTACCGAGTGGTAGTAAATTTCTTACCGAGTGGTACTAAATTTCTTACCACGCTAGTAATAAATGCAACCAGGTAGCAAACTAAATACTACCACAGTGGTAACAAATTACTATAAGTCGGTTCCACGGTTTATACCAACATATATAAATATGTATGTATGTACCTGCGTATCATTATCAAAGATTTTCCTATATTTATTTGCACTCAAAATTAGGATTTTATGACAAATTGTAAATATCAACTTTTTAATTTTCATTCAAACTCTAGGCCAATTGATATTAAATCATTACTGAATGGAACACGCTCTACGGGCACTGGTAATAACGGACACTACCGCGAGTAATGTGGTAATGAAAAATTTACCACTCAGAAACAAACTATTACCAATCCGGTAGGAAGTTATTACCAAATCAATACCAGTACGGAGTATATATTTATGTGACTCTACCAGATTTTTAAAAGTGTAGAATTTGCTAATCAGATCAGCAAATATGACAATTTGTTCACCACTTACAATGCAGGTCTTTCACATGTAAAACTCAGATTTACATGGGACCAATTTAAGTTAACCACAAAAAATAAGCATACCCGTATTTTTGCAATTTTCATAATGCGCTAATTTGAACGCGAGGTGCGAATTTTAAATTGTTTTCCAGCCGAAACCCTGGGTTTTCAAAATCCTCTAACTTTTCGAATTTTAGGGCGAATTAAAAAATTCGGAAACATATCTTCTGAATGACTTGCTAAAAATCCAATTGTCGCGAAATTTAAAATTTTTTACCAGCCTTTGAAAATTTGAAAGACAGCAATTCCCGTCTATTCAGTTTTAAATTTACAAGAATTATTACTAGAAATTTGCACCAGAACGAATAAAATAAAGGCAAATGTAATTTTCCCCAGGGAAAAGGGTAAGGCAAAGGCAAAAGGTTATTCATACCACGCAGGGCATTTCCCTTTACCTTGACCCTTTGCCACAGGCAATAGCTATTCCCTTTTCCCCTTTCCCCGGAGCTTTTGCCTGAGTTTATTCATACCAGTGATTGCCCCTCTGTCCCCTCGCTTCCGCGGCCACTGACAATAAGAATGAATGTATGTATACAAGTATTATGCGCCTTATTTTTGCTTGTGTAATGCGTATGTGTGCAAAGAAAAGTTATAAAAAGCTGCAACCTAAATCATAAAACTAGGCGAGCAAGTAAACTAAAGTAAAAGAAAAGATCAGGGTTTGACTTACTAAATGTTGAGGCAATCATGGTGGAAGCCAAGCCACACAAGGAACAATATGGTTCGCAGTCGGACCCAATTACTCGCCGGATCCGGCTTAAGCAAACAGGAGCGAATTTGCTGCCACTGCCAATTTTCTCATTATTATTGTTATTTTTGCCCTCATTATCTGCCTGACACTTGCTCCCGTTGGCTTCAAAGGATAATGACGAGCCTGCTCCATTTTGATAAAACGGGACGTACGATCCAGAGCAAATCGAGCCCGCAAGAAGCGTGGATTGAGAATCCTCCGTCGTAGCACTTGTCTCAAAATCCCGACGAATGTGATTCCTTGATGATGAGTTCAAAGCTTCAAATTCGGTGGTGTCGTAGCTTAAGGAGGAGGAAGCAGACGTGAGGGTCGGTGAATGGACATCTACATGAACTTGATGAACTTTTCTTCCACTTTCTGCTGGAGACTGGGGCTCATTAATGTAATAGACATTCCTCGAGTTACGAGGTTCATTAGGTCGCAAAGGTTTTAGGTAGCCATCCTTGTCGTGTTCAATGTCGATAATTTGACAATATTTCTTAGCCTTTCCTCTCCCAGTTTGCTTGGCCTTCCCAACATTATCGGAGGATGATGTAGCCGACGAGTAAGCTACAGAGTGTCGGCGAGCATTTGGAAATGTTGAGAAAGTTGGATTCATATAGTAATCATGGATTTCGTTTGGGTTATCTCTAATAATTCCTCCACCATCAGCGGCTTTGGACGATTGATGCGTAGTGGCAGCAACAGGCACGGAATTATTTCGAGGACGAGATGATGACTGCTGTACTCGGCAAGTGGTATAGTTTTCACCCATGTTGTAGTACATGTTGGCTGCATAGCGTTCGCAGTCATCAAATCTATAAAGGGAAGCACGTTCTCGTTCCTCTTCAGCAAATAATAGGCTGGGAGCCGTTCTTCCATTCAATTTGTCGGTGGACCTTCCTTCTCCTTCTTCATCTCCGTCCTTTGGAGAGATTTGGTTAGAATTTGAGGATGAATTGGAAGAGTGACGATCTCCTTCGCAAGAATTTGTGTATATGGAGAGGGACGAGTCTGGAGTAAATCTGGGCGAGTTGGGGCCATTAGATTCATCAATCGTGGAGGATCCACTTACATGACTCTCACTGCCGAGAGAGTGCTTGGACTTTGATTTCCAGAAAAACTGACCAAACTTTTGACTGAATCCTCCTTTCCTTTGATGGTCAGAGTTGCTGCTGCTACTGTCGTTTCTTCGATTTCTTGCTGATGCTCGGATCGACTCGAAGGAAGTTTCTTTGATGGGATGGGACATTAAATTATCTACGAAACAGCTACCACCATTGCTTTCACAACTGCTCAAGAAGACGTCTAGCTCAGTAGCGTCAGTATCTTCCGAGGACAGTGGTTCTCGGCGTCCGCGTCCAGTAGTAATTGGTTCTGGGGGAGGTTTGCGATTTCTGTTGTACCCGAATTTCTTGTAAAGGGAAGGGTGCATGTCCCCGTCGTCAAAATAAGATGGGTTTTCTGGAACGAAACAGAGATGACATAAGAATAAATGTGTGAATAGTAGAACAATGTATTTAGATTCATGTAAGGATTATAGGCGAAGGAGTGAATTTGATTCTCATTTTGAGACAAATTCTGCAATGTGCATTGAATTATTATTTCATTAGGTTTCATTAGACCAAAACCAGCAATAAGAAAGGCTATGTCTCCACCGATCCCAAAGGATACATAAGTAAAGATAGACTACGTATGTATGTACATACGACAGGTTAAATGGAAGGGCAATAATTTTAGTCAGAATATCAATAGGAAATAGGATTCTGGTGTAAAAAGCGTAAAACAAAAACCAAAATTCCAGAATTTCCGACTATAAACAACTTAATCCGAAACCCAAACAAAGACAGACGTCAAAAACCACAACCATTATCTTTTATAAGTTTAAAGACACAAGTATTTAGCACCCGTGAAAATTAATGGGATCCAAAAACCTAGCTAAACCTAAAAAAAAAGGGTGAATTTAGATTTCTGGATTTTCCTTCGTTCCTGTCTTAATCAGATTATCGAATGTTTACACTAACGACAAACCTCTGGATACCTTATCTCGTAGAATGTTGACAAATTCCGAACCCTCCAGCTCGAAAATTTAGAAAACATTGAAAACAAAACACGTCGAAACAAAAGGTGCATGACTGCTGCAGTAAATCTCAAATTGTCAGAGAGAGCACCCACTCACAACACACAGCACGCACATTCACCCACATATGTACAACATATAAGATTTCTTTTGTCTTCGAATTTAGCAAACGATTCCTGATAAGAACATATCACCCAATAAAATTAAGAAAAAATTGATGTGTTTGTTTGTAACAAAATGAGACTTTCGCCGAACCGGATGTGCCTGTTACACAGAATCTGATGATGCGAATTCTACGTAAAAACTAGATAACAAAAACCCACGCCAGAATCAGATCTGGCTAAAACTCAAAACACCACCAGGAACACATACAATAGCAGCACAAATTAATTCACAACGCCAAAAAGATAGTCAACAGTTTTGTACACATGTCAGAGAGTATGCATACGTATCTGCATAGGAAAAGCTAAAACTAAACTGAGAAGTAAGATGAGAATTTGGAAATTGGAATTGACGAGCTTATCTCGAGCTACATGAAGATGCCGTCGGATGAATAAAATTATTCTTGGACTCCATTACATGGGTGTCAACATGATAAAATGAGAGCTTCAACTTTTACATGCATATGAGCGATGATTCAATTCATAAATATACAAATCCATATACATGAAACGCAATTTTACTGATACAGAGCCGAGCTGGTAACGATTAATTAATTAAACCTAATCCAAAACTACACATGTCCGATTAAGGATTTGACATTAAAATTAATGTTTTTAATAGATCATACCATTAAAACCTGTCACAACTGGGAGACATGTTGGAGAATGAAATAAGAAATGAATGAAAAAAACTGTTTAAAATTACCTTGAATGATCGGCATGGTGTTCTTTTCTACGTATGCTGAATGGTTTGGCTTTAATGAAGCGAAACAAAGGAGAATGGTTTCGTGTAGTGGTGTAGCAGTGATTTGCAACTGTCAGATTAGCAGCCAATTTTCAGCATTCCATGAACAACATCCGTGAATCTGGAAGAGCTTTTTTCTTTAGTTCACGTTCTTTCTTCCGCACTTTTTACGCACAGTTTATCAGTCCATCCAGTGACAAAATTCCCGAGATGGGAACGTGTCACAGCGTCGAGTCAAATCTGAAGAATGACGAACAGATCTGCAGCGTCTATTTTGCAGACATTACAAATTTCAGGATTTGACCAGTAATTAAAGTTGGGAACTTATTTTTACCACGAAATTGTCCCACAAGTGATTCTCCTATGTGACAAAGGCGTTACGGGAGAGAAAGGGTTGCGTTGAACTAATAGTTTTGGCAGTAAACTAAAGACTGGCACCGGGACGGGTGAGTAGTCCAAGATATCCCTCAGGATCAGTCACTCTCATCCTGAGTTGTTGGCAACTCATTTGGTTCGAGGTTTGTTTGTGAGTGTGTATGTGTTGAAGACCTTTTAGTAAATGGTGTTGTATGTATGGGTACAGGGCGAAGAGGGTTTAGTCGGATGGCCGGTGTATGAAAATAGGATCATTTTTCCGTCTTCGGAGATGAAAGAAAGCCTTCTTCACAGCTTGGGTCTGGTCTGGCTTGGGTTTAGAGTTGGATCTTCTGCTCTTCTAGCTGGACTGAATTGATGTACAAGAGAAACAAATCATTCATAAGGATAGCATTGTTTGTAGCTAAAAACAATTCATAAAAACAATTCATAAAAAGGGTTGGAACTTAGAAGAGATAGAGAGGAAAGGCTCAATTATGTTGTACTTGAAACAACTACTTTTGAAGTGGTTCATCTGTGGACTGGACGATATAAACAGCATTTGCGATGCTAAAGTTAATAATTATCGCAAAATGACAGGAAGAATAAATGACTCATCATCACCATATGCATAAGAAACACCGGCATAAAGAATTATTTTTGTTACCTGTCAAAAAAGGTGTAAAAAATGGGAATGGGCATTTTATGAGTCACACAGTCCTGATGGATTCTAAGAAATCTTCCAACTTCGATTTCATTGAGTTTTTTTAACCTACGTTGAACATAAGAACAAATTGCCTAACCAAAATCGACAAATTCATATGTATTTAATGCATCCTACTTAATAGTCTGTTTCTTAACAATAACTTACCAACGATGATACTGATGAATTGATGACCCTTATTATTTCGTCCTTGTCGTCGAGGTCGAACTATCTCGTTTCGGGTTAGGCAGGTCTCCGGACTGGACTTGATAGCATAAATGACAACTTCCCCGTCTTCGTTCCCACCCGAGATAAGATAAGCTAAATTCCCCTACATTTTTCTCCCCCTCCTTCGAACAAATTGTAAATACAAAAATTAGTATAAGATTCAACTAACTAACTAATTCACTAACTGCTGTAGCAGCCAGGACCTAAGTGTACACATATCAAACAAAAGTTCCACGTTCTTTGAACAGATGACGTGTGATAAAGTTATTTTTTGTACCACTCAAACTGTATTTTGGAATCAAATCGCTACATTTCATTTGAGTTATAATATGAACGTCAATGACAAAAATTAATATTACTAATTTTCACTTTATTGAATTTTCAATTTTCCTCTCAGCTTTAAAAATTTTTTATTTGATGCATTTTCAATTTGAAACATGCGAAAATCTATTCAGAAAATTCGAATGTTTTATTATTGTGTAGGTATGAACTTCTAATTTCAGGAAATGCGTTCATAAAACAGGATACCGTGGTTGGGGAAAGCACATCCGGTTAACTTTCTCCTCATTCTTGGGCAGTGGATAGTGTGCACCTTCCATGCAATTTGCCTCACTTTATTACTTTAACATGGCGTGTTTAATAGCAATTAATCAAGTCAACGTTTGCATAATATGTATGTTTATTTGACAGTAAAAGAAATTCACAAATATGAAATTGCGTAAAAATTAACCAACATCTTGGCTTCACACGTTTATCCATTCATCGCTTAAACTTGGTCAAAATAAAATTCAAGTATTCCATCTTTTTCAAAGCCAAATTTTTCAGCTTATTCTCCGGCACGTCCAACAACTCGTATTTAAACGAATCCACACACTTTTGCAAATATACCTTCGCCAATTTCACCGTTTCGGGTTTATGTCTCAAAATCTTAAAGTCATCATCAACCTCACCCCCACCCATCGCCAAAATTGCGGATTGCATCTCGTAATAGATAACCGCCGTGTAAATATTCAACTTTGCTAGTCCGGGGTCTAATTTTTTAATAATTTGAACAATCCTGTTACAAAGGGCGACTTTGTCTTCGAGCATTTTTGCATTGTGCATCCTCACGTTTTCATCCTCGGAATCATTCTCACCATCCTTATCGCCATATAATTGAACGAGTGAATGATTTATGACGAAACTCAGGTAGTAGTCAGGATGGACTAACTCATCCATTTTACTGACGAGGTTCTTATAATTTGGCAGGCTGGGTTTGGTCTTTGACACCATTTCGCAGAGACGAGAATCCAGCTTCTTAACTTGCCAGGGTGGAGTTATCTTGTTACATTTGGTGCATTTCCACTGCATTTCTGGAGTTGGAGGAGTCACCGGAAATGGGACGGCGTACCCTTTGCACTTTTCTAGTAATTTCAGTTAGAAAAACAGCTTTAGAGATATTTTCCTTGAAACAAACTACGTATCAGAAAGGAGATAAATTACATATTTAAATATGTATACCTTGGGTACAAATGATGGTGGAGAAATTCGACCCCAACTCAAAGGGATCACTACACCTGACGCAGTTACAGAAAAATCCTCTCTCCTTTTTGAGAAATTCTCTCCTCTTTTCCGTATTCCACATCAAGTTTGAGTAAGAAATGGCCAAACTTTCGCCTGAAAAAAAGTCACACCTTGTTACATATCACGTAAGTATGTAACCAAAACCTTCCACAATAGTTTAGTTTGGCAACATACCCTTCTTGATTTTGACTGCGGATCGACAGAACAGCTCCACCACATATTTTCCACTAGATCCATTCCCAGCGGTCCCTCCGACCGTGGTGGTGTTGGTAGGACTGAGATAAAACTTGACGTTCGGGACGCACGAATGTTCGAGCATGGAGAAAGTGGGGAAAAGTGCGGTGAGCTCGATTTCTTGCGAGATATTAAAGTGAAGCGCATTAATGTCGAGAATTCCGAGAATTTTATGAATATCTGGTTTGTGCACTTGATTAATCGTGGCATGATTGATGTGGGAGAGAATGGTCTTGATCAGGGTGAAAACTCGCGTCGTCCGTTCCAACTGTGGCAGCGGGATTACTACGCCGTCTTTTTGACGACTTTCTTCATCATTTTGTGATTGGAGACTCATCATCTGATCCCATTGCGTCTGGGAAGCGAATTTGAGCAAAATGCACCGAAAGTAAATTAAGTTGCGGAGAATTGTCTCACGAACATTGGTGATGGCATTGGTGGCAGCCCCACTTTTCCCAGTTGAGCCTAAATAAAGTAGAGAGAAAGTCATCACGAGAGTCCTATGAGCACAGTATAAATAAAGCGTCAGCATCATTTTTAAGTAGACTTGACGATGACGACTATTTGATCTGCTCGTCTTTTAATTCCCTGGAGGGAACCCTTCTCCACTTTTCTAATGTGGGTCTACATAGTTTAGTTAATGTGAGAAAATTGGGAAAATTGTGGTCGTCTTTTCCCCTAAAATTTCCCTAGAGTCGTTACATATATCTCAACTTTGAGGGAAATTATGACTGAATGATTCCCTTCCGCGTAGCAAAGCGAGACGGAGATGATCATCATTGCTGCTTTGAGGGAGAGAATGTCTGCATTTAGAAGTATAGCACGACCATACATTCAATCAGTGGCCGCGGAAGCTGTGGGGACATTAGCATTGTAGGATAGGTGAAGGAGGGGTTTATATAACATGGGCTGATGATGGGGACATCGGATAACCGTGGGGACATTGTCCCTCTGTCCCCACCCTTCCGCGGCCACAGTACTTACACCCAATGTCTTTGTATAACTGGATAATTGAGTTCCAATAATAACAATCCATTGATTTACCTTGCTCATCACTTTTCAGCTCTGGTGCGAAGGGGGGAGCTTCAGAGATGAGTCGACATTCCAACACTTTGTGAAAGTGTTGTGAAGCGCATTGCTTGGAACAGACGGGTAGGTCGCATTTGGAACAGACCTGCTTTCTCCGGCTGCTTTCACTCCTTTTCCCACCACCACTTTCACCCTCAGACTCTGATGACGAGGAGGAGGAGGAGGAAGAAGAATCAGTTGATGATGAGTCTGACTCGTCGTCATCAACTTTTATTTCTTTGTAGCATCCCAAACAGATCTTGTGCGGGGTGAACTCCAAACTGTTTGCTTTCAGACTTAGCACGATTGGTCGATCCTTCAGGAGAATCCAGTCTGGTTTGATATCCTCGCTCGCCACCAAATGACGACCCACCGTTTCGCTGCACTCCAACTGAAAATAATGACGGGAGGAGATAATAATAATACAAATCTCTCTCTCTCTCTTTGAGCCTGATGACGATAATTATTTTGAACGGCTCCATGCCGAATTGCATTTCAAAGACGTCATTCTCCATATTGAGATCAACGATACAAAGTTATTCGAATGAGATGCGGAGTGGTGTAAGGACGTTTCAAAGCGGGGAGGAAATTGGCTCCACTTTTTCACGGACAATTTACAATTTATTCTATCATAATGCCCTGCATTGGTTGGTATATGGAGTGATGGCTGTTCGGGTATGGTCCGATTTTTCAAAAGGATATGTACGTATCTATCTAGTCCTTCCTTCTTCGGACCAATTTCGCCATGAATGAGATGAAATCGCTGTTGCACTCTTTCTGACTGACTGAGCATGTAGATTGTTCGTTCCCCATCTGCTTTATGTATCATTATGGGCTGGTTGGATGGAATAAATTCGAAAAAGTGGATGAAACATTCATTTTTATTTTCTGAAAAGTTAGATATTCGCATTGGGTGGGATACAGGCTGGAAAAATCGTGTCAACCGGATGCTGGAGCACAGCAGCAGAAGGTGGCTGATTTACATGTCATGTATGTATATGTTCCTTAGTGGGTATATGTAGTTTTGTAAAATAGTATGTGCTACTTGCGGGTTACGGTTGAGTCGACTGGTGAAAGCTGTTTCGTGCATATGACATATGAACATTGTGTAACCGGTATATGTACATACTAATCCAGATTATCTATACCATCCAAAAAGCAAATCGTGACTAGCCGGAAGGTTTTTCATCTCTAGGTTTTGTAAGCACATATCAAATTTTATATTACAAAGTCATGCATGTAAGCCCAGAGGAGTTACGATAAATTAAAGGGAAAACAAAATGAGAATATGTTATGCATATGGAAATTGCAAAATTTAGAATTGCAAAATTGACCCATGAATTATACCCGGGTACTTCCTCTCACGCGAATGTGTACACAGCATTTATAGCGCTTTAGACACGGGGTCGTCATCCCTCAGAGTAGTATAAATCTTTCGAAATGACTGTGTGGACTGGACACATATGCAAATGCGTTGTGGTGACCAAAGCCGCTCTGCAGCAAGAATCAGAATTATGTGCATTGAGCTTTATGCATCATTTACAGGATTTTACGTTGCAGTGGTCGCGGAAGGAGTGGGGACATTAACATTGTAGGATAGGGAGGGAGGGGTTTATATAACATGGGGAGATGATGGGGACATCGAATAACCGTGGGGACATTGTCCCTCTGTCCCCACCCTTCCGCGGCCACTGCTAAGAATCTATCCAAGTTACAAAATACAATATATGCCTGGTTATGTCTATTATATGATTTCTCTGCATTGTTAACATTTCATTTCATACTTTTATACAAAGTTTCAAGTAAAAAAAAAATATTAAAAAAATAATGTGAACTATATTCTCACCGAATACTTCTTTTTATTGCAAGTCGCCTTGTGAGCCTCCCAATCTTGCTTTTGATGTGCTTTCGAGCAGTAAAACACGAGACGACACCAAGAACATCGTGATTCCGAAGTTTTCGAACAAACTTGGCATTTCCCCCGTTCAGCCATATTTCATTTCTGCGGAATAATAAGTAATGTAATAATCACTAATAATAATAATAAGTAATGTAAAAATCTCATAATTTTTCTTCTCGAGAAGAAGAAAAACTATGCACAAGAGTCAAGTATATGATTAGCCGAGAAAAATAAATTTATTTTCACGCAAATCTTGACACTTGCTTGGGCAGGGTTCAAAAGAAGGGATAAATCTTAATAATGGGGTGTTGCACTTCTTTCCGAATTGTATAAATCCATCCCACCAAATTAATACGATATATTTTTGTTACAATGAAATTATGATGTTGATATTCTCCCCCCGCAAGTTTTTTTTATACTTTTTTGTTCCACCAAACCAACCATGCAGTCAACATGAAAGAGTTTGAAGAAAAGGTGAAAATAAGCCAAGTGAACAAAAGAACAAATCCAAGAGACAAGAGAAAGCAGTGTGTTTTCCTTTCCGGAGAAATTTTCCACCACTTTTTGGATTTGCAGAAAATACAGTGAGTTGTAGCAGTGAACTAAAGGCCAGTGACCGCGGAAGCAGTGGGGACATCTGGGGATATTAACATTGTAGGACAGGGGAGAGAGGGGTTTATGTAACATGGGCAGATGAAGGGGACATCGAATACCCGTGGGGATATTGCCCTCGCTTCCGCGGCCACTGCTAAAGTCGGTTGGTAGTGGTTTTCTCTTCGGTAATAACACGAGCAAGTGATATACTATACGTTGTGTTCTTCTGTCGGAAGTTTTGTGTTCCTGCTTGAAATATGGGACAGAAGACCCCAGGAGGCCAAGCCTGCTTGGCACATAGTGCAAGGGGTCTGGATCACTAAAAGCTTCGAGAGAGAGAGAGATTTTCAAGTCGAAGGCTGAATTGCTTTTCCCACACCCACCCACCCACAAACAAGCTGAAGGATTGGAATTAGAGAAAATAAGTTAAGTTTTAGTAGGTGGAAATAACACACGCGGATAGTTTTGGAGGAATTACAACTGTATTTTTTTCCAAATTAATGATTACCTGACCAGCCTAGTAATTTGAAAACTTACCCAATTTATAAATACGAGGAGATGATTTGTAAAAATTTCGGAGAGAAAAATGAATGTGCACGCACGTCTTACTTAAAAGATGGAAGTGTATGTGTATGAGACGAAATGACTAAAAATAGTTTTAAAATGGTTCCGAATCCGTACGAACGTTGAGACCGGGTCGTTAAAAAACGTATGTAAAAATACATGCACGAATAGGATTATGTTGTGCAGATCAAGGCAGTGCTTTGTTCGGAAATTATTTATGTGCATGTGAGGGAAATTGAGACAAAGTGGTACATTTTTCATCATTTCATTTGTACACACATTTGTAGTGTGGATAGGACAATTACACTAATTTTATTAATTAGATTCTGAAAGCAACATGCAGATAGCACTAATAATTCTACATATGAATGTACATACATCAAACCCACTACTGAAGAAATACGTCACACGTGTCTGAATAAAACTTGATAAAGTTATTTACATATGGTTAAGCTGTTAAGCTATATCTACACTATCGGCATTGGTAATAGTCCTGTTGCTGCACAGACAGTTCTCTACCCGTGATCAGTTTACCTCTTGATACGTACATATGTACATAAGTTGTGCACACATCTTGATAAATATCCTTGACGTTAAGGAAGTTGTTTCAAATGCAAATCGTTCCTCGGTACCGGTGGAGGAGGCGTGTTTCCATCCACACATTTAACACAAAGCCCTTTGGGTGAACAGCACCGATAAGGGTTTCGATCCAACTGGCTCTAAATGCATAAAAGAAAGAAGAAAGAAGCCATCCATATTAGTATAAAATATGTACAACTCCTCGGGAGCAATAAATGATGAGGGAAGATAAAATAGAATAATTGTCCAATTTACAATAAAGTAAAATAAAAGGGGAATTGGTATTGATACGGATCCACAAAAGTGGTCTCCTCGTACATAACATATCACATCATTTTATCTAAGCGAGACACACAAAAAATAGAATAGAAATAGAATTGCTTGCACCCATCCGACTGACACAGGACAAGGACACGATGCGAGTAGTGTGACAAAGACATGAATTCACATTGAGGCGTGACAGAAATAAGTTTGCCTACGTATAAGTACAATATGTACGTACCTCGGGACAATCCGGCGTCCAGGAGAGGCGATGCCCATTTGACCGCTTCCTCGTGAAGGGGTAGTGACACCTACAGATTTGTATGTGGGATATAGTAATAATAACCCCTTACGAAATTCCTTCTTCTTTTGCTCAAACTTGAACTCACCCACAATGATAGTCTTCCCTCAATACGCTCATAACTGTAAAAGGAAGAAGAAATTACGAAGAGTGAAAGAGACATTAGTGTCAACATTATGACCATCCTTGAGACTCAAAAGAGAAAGTTATGGGGTGGCTTTATACAAAATGTATACATACGACCACCACCACTCACTCACCCACTTTCTCTCTCTCTACAAACTTTCTCTCCCAAAACCATTCTTTTCTCGCTTTCTCTCTCTCTCTTCTAACACGAATGTAAATGTAATGCAACGTGCCCGTAGTAGTGGTTGTAATGGTGTGGTTGGTACGTACATGGGAAAAAAGTAAAAGTTGGAGTGAGTGCAACTAAGGAGGGGAGCTTGCGAGGTTGATAATAACAGATCTTGGTGCCCTTTGGATATGTGGTAGGGACCCATGAGTGTACTAAAACCCTGAAGTAGTTTGACTCCATGGCCACATTTGCGCCCGCCACACCCACTCAAAAATGTCCAAAAAACGCTTTCACCCCAGTTTTCACTCACTCAAATCCACGCCAAAAATCCAATTTTACTCGGATTTTGAAATTTCTTTCACCATTATACTCCCAGATAGTTGCTTTCTTCAATCCAATATCAAACTCAATTTTTTCGAAATTTTTAGTATTTTTAAAATTTAAAATTCTGAATGAGCATTGTTGTAGTCATCAACAAAACAAATTATGTTTGCGAAATAATCATCAATAAAATTGAGTTTGATATTGGATTGAAGAAAGCAACTATCTGGGAGTATAATGGTGAAAGAAATTTCAAAATCCGAGTAAAATTGGATTTTTGACGTGGATTTGAGTGAGTGAAAACTCGAGTGAAAGCGTTTTTTGGGCATTTTTGAGTGGGTGTGGCGGGCGCAAATGTGGCCATGGAGTCAAACTACTTCAGGGTTTTAGTACACTCATGGGTCCCTACCACATATCCAAAGGGCACCAAGATCTGTTATTATCAACCTCGCAAGCTCCCCTCCTAAGGCAAAATGCAACACCACGGCTAGACCAACCATCAAATGAAATGCTTTCCTTCCACTTCCTGACTCCACTTCAGCACCAATTTCAACAGCGTTTTCAACTCACTTTCTCTCCCTCCTTGTCTTCCTTTCCCATCTCAAAAGGCGAGGAACAGCATGCCATATGCGGCTAGCTACCAGGAATATAAACGTAGTACTGCTCCAGTGGGAAAGAAGAGAAAGTTGAGAGAGAGAATGAACTGTTGTAATACTGCGTCGTAGTGGTGGTGTGGTGAGCTAAAGTCGTTACGTGGTTGCACACATGCATTACATATTCTCAATTTCTCCGCATTTTTTAATAGAATCGTCGTCGTCTTTTGAGAAAGAGAAAAGACGACCTGAGTGAACACGAAATCGGTCATTCTTTGTAGACGAGAGGAGCTCTTATTATAAAACAAGTGGTAACATTGTTCATCATGCGAAAAAAGCTATATTCATGCATAATTCCGTATGTATGTAAGTACCCACCTCCTAAAACAGCCCCGGGAGCATCTCTCAAGTTCGAGAAGCACTTGTCATTCCTAAGATAACATTTATGATCTCGAACCACGACGGCGAAACACGTCTCTGTGAAATAGCACCACCGCAGACAGTCGATCCCCGTCGAGTTGTCCAGCATCACGTCATCCCCGACAGGGTTGGACCAAGCTTCGGCACTAAATTCTTCACCGGGACAGTCCCTGTCAACTTCCGCCTGACCGGCGTAACTCTCCACTTGAACTGTGGGCCACAAGAGAAAGTAAAAAAAAAACGTCGAAAATTTAGTTTTTTTCAAGGAAAACAAAGTCGAATCGTTTTACATTCCCTGAAAAAATCTGTATGACAAAGTCAACTCGAGTAATAAAAACGATCTCGCCCATAAATCAGAACCTGTCCATGATGATAACTTAACTACTAGTGTGTAAATCATTTTGAAAATCCGTGAAATGTTCACTTACACCCGCAAATATTGACTCCTCTCGTTTTATTGCAGTATAAGTGGAATTCCTCATAGTAAAAGCAGTCCTCATTGGTCAAGCAGGGACTCCCAACTTTGGAATCGATGCACTATATATAAAACCAATTCGTACATAAAATTCTCACCATAAAAAAGATCATTCTCATATTTTTTCTAGCACATCATCACATCGTTTTCTACCTGTTTCGCACCCCCAGACATGCACAGACTCAAGAAAACAGTTATTATTAACAGGACTTTCCCCACTTTCTCCGGCATCACGGCTTCCATCAAATTCTTACTTTGCTCCGACTTGATTTTTGCAATCTGTTACATCATCACATAGTTTGGGCGCTCATTAAGTTTTGCAGTCTTGTGTTGTTATTATTATTTTGCAAGTTCCGTGTGGGCCAAATTTTTGTCGTTTTAAGAAATCGTCCCTGGGTTTCGTGCAAAATTAAAGATTTTAAAAAATTCGGGGTGCTTACTCGCTATGCCAACGGAGAAAGTGGACAAGTCAGCTGCATTTGGCTGGTTTTGGAGAAGAGGAGGAAGACGGAGATGAGTATGAGGAAAGAAAATTCCGCCCAGTCGAGTTTTGCGTTTCGTTAGACGAAGACGTCGTCTCTCTCCGTTCTTCTTCTAGTTCTCTTGTTCAAGTTTCAGAGTTCTTGAAAGTTTTGGACAACATTTTTGGCAGGTATGTATATAACTGGGTGCGTGGTCTTTGTGGTGCACGGGGGGTGAGAAAGAAGGATGACCTCGTGTATGAAATAGTGTGTTTTTTAACTCGATCTTTTTTCCCATTTCTGACTACCACAGGACGGAAGAGAAAGTTGAAGAGGAGGAAATTGGGAAAATATAGAGAGCTGTGCTGAATGCAAGAATTAACAACGGAGTCTCAACAAGATCAGTACACTAAAAATTTGCGGTTCTGTTGCATCCAGAGGTGAGGAATTTTGTATATTTATTTTTATTTTTTTGGGGGGTTCGAAATTTTTGAAGCGTTTTTATTTTGTTTTGTTCGTAATCATTCCTTCTATACCGTGACAACGGACGGACCTGTTTGAAACATTTTATGCAAAGTCAAGTTTGATGAAGTTTAGAAAACCGTTTAGTAGATTATTAAATAATTAATAAATTTTATTAATTTTGGGTGACGGCTGTGGTGTGCTTTGCACTTTGGTTTAGTGGTCTTTATTGCCGTTTATCTTTTAATAATATTGATCGCTTTCAGTCAGTGTTTCATTGTTGCGTTGGTTTGCTGCTTTCCTGACGTTTCCTTCCTACAGTCACTGCCGTTCGTTGGATTACTGACTGACTGAGATTTGTTCTTGTTTCCGTATCATCGCTTTGCTTGGTTGGTATTCCGTCACAATTTGTAACTCGACTATTACGGATATTTTGTTTCGCACTGTAACCATACTCTTATCTTTTTTGTACCAAATTCCAACAGCAAGGATTGACAGAGAAGAACACAAGATGGAAGTCGAAATGAACGGAAATCTTTCAAATTCCAGCACGAATTCCAATTACAACGGTTTCGAGTCCAACACTGTTGGGTGTGGTACTGATTCCGGCGGACCATTGACTTCGACACCAATTTCCGACCGGAGCATTGACGGTGAAGTTGAGCAACCCACTTCCACATCGTACATTGAGAATGGAGGAGGAGGAGGAGGAATGACAGCACCGAAGTATGGGACGTTGATTCCCAACCGGGTCTTTGTCGGTGGGATTTCATGTCAAACGAGGTACTACATGCATCCTTGCTCTATAAGTCGTTCTATATATTTTACTATATGTATGTATGTATGTTGTGATTGTGAAAACAAATTCTTCCCATTTTTCACCAGTGAATCGGAGTTGATGCAGCTCTTTTCTAAATTTGGTGCAATTCGGGGAACCAAGATTATAATGGACCGTGCCGGAGTTTCTAAAGGGTATGGATTTGTTACTTTTGAGACTGAGGATGAAGCAAAACGGCTTCTCAACGCCATGAATCATCGGGTATTAAAACCATCAGATGTAATAATATGTAGTTCAAATTTTAATATGCCTGTCAAAGTACACTCCAATTTTTTGTTAGCAGGAAATGGCACCCATAGTTCATCGCGACCGTCGGTTAAATATTGCTCCCGCCGTAAAGAAACAGGTAATATTAACGTGTTTAATAAATTAGTCAATAACATTGCACAATTGTACCATTAGTGCTTTTACACACAATTTCAGCCAATGATGCAACGGCAAAACGTAACTTATGGGTCGCAAGGCTCCATCGGCGCCTCTTCAACTTTTTCTCCCCCACCATTTGATTCTTACTACTACGCTCCTGGACAATCCCCACAAGGGGAATTTTTTGTGCCACCGGTGCCAATTCAAGACAACTATTTTCAACAACAGACACACGGATTTAGCAATGGTGGATTCTCAAATGGTATCTCAAACGCACTTTCGACCGGACTCACCAACGGGTACTCTAACGGAGGACTTGCCAACGGCTACTCGTCGACAACTCAGGTGACTGACGGTATGGGTCAATTTTACACGGTTCCAAATCTCGGAATGGGACAAGCTATTCAAGGACCGAACGGGAGTATCATATTCGTACCGATGCCATCAATGCCGTCAATGCCGCAATGTCAGCAACTCAATTCAGTCAACTGGATCGTGTAAACTTATTAGCTAGTCAGTCAATCATCAATGAAGTTATAATTTACATTCATATAGAAGATATTGGAGATACTATCGTCACACGTTGTTAGCTAGTGAATGACATGAAAAAATGAATAGATTTATTACCGTATATATATTATCTCAAAATGTGCCACAACTAAAATGTACAAAATATTTATTCAACACTTTTGCAAATTAGAATATTTAGCAGTGCAGTATAAAAAATGTGACAACTGCTTTATCTGTGATGTAGTAGAACATGTACTGTAATAATAATTAAGTAACGTAAAAAAATGGCATGTACTGTAGATTTGTAGTACACACTGCAACTAAGAAATTGTTAATTTAGTCTAAGGTAATCATTTGTTAAACCCCAAAATTCTTTTGTACCTTGCATTATTAAATGTAAATCCACGACTTGTGGAATAATTGGTTTAAAAAACTGAACAAGTGGGAGAAAATCTTTGGAAAAGTGACTAGTTTATACCGTAGTTCAGCACATAATACGTAAATAATGAATTATACTTCAATCGTATCAAATAACAACCAAACAGTGTGAGTGACTACCTATCCTGATGCTAAATATGTGAAAAATATTACACCTTGAAACATGAAAAATAAACTATCCTTATGAGGAAGTTGATCGGGTAAGAATATAAAACATTTTTACATTTCATGTGAAATTATTTATTACCACCTGACTTTTTCCTGCACACGCTACGATGGTCTGGATGGACATATTGCATTTAATGTAGCTATTAAATTATATAGCTTTAAGTGAAATGATGAAATGACGCTATATGAATTTCATTATTGTGAGAAATTGAGAAAATATTGAACCTTTGGAGCGAGCAGCAGGCAGCAGCGTGGAGTTCAGTAAACCATCATATTTAATCATCTGTATCCACAATCCAGTCAGTCGGTGAGCTGTCATTCCTGCAGCTCGTTCTTTTTTTAACTTTTTACATATTTTTTTTAACCTTTATTTCATACTAATTGTGTATTTTTTCTAAAGGAGTGTTTTATGGCTCTATTTTAATCTTTAATGTGAGATAAATACGGATCACGGTGTATCTGATTCCTGCTCAAATATATAGGTAGGAATTGAAGCAACCACCTGTTGTGTAGCAGACTTGAAGAGATTCTCCTCAATGAATGATATCGTAATTTAATTGTGTAATTGTGTTCACCGTCGTGGTCTAATTGTGAGACAACTCCTAGAATTAAATTCAAGGTGGAATCAATCAGGTAAATTTTGACATTTCTGCTGACCATGTGGTGTGACATACATTTTTGAATTTTTGCTTGATTTTGTAGTGTAGGATGTATTGTAAAATTTGATGATGTATTATATTCCTTCTAAGCCAGTTATACTCTATTTTAAATTGACTGTTATTGTTTATGGCTTTGCAGTGGGATTGTGATTGAACATTGGATCGTCAAACAAGAATCACCCTCTGCCTGCGTGTCAGTCTGTTCTGCTCAACTTCTTTTATCAGTACAAGACCGGTATCAAAGCCAGAATTGCCTTAGAGTAGAATAGAGAATAAGTATAATTTACATAATTGCATAACAAGATTTAATCTCGGACGAGGCAAGAAGGAAAGTTTATTGCTACACGAGGTGTTTTTTTTATTTCAGATTTTGTTCACCAGACCAGGCTAGTCAGATACATAGCTGTACTACTACAATTTCCAAACCACGTTGTGTCCACTTTGAAGTTTAATTTGTACGAGAGTCAAAGAAACTAATAATTTGTGAAATATCATCATGGTGGAGCTCAAAACGGGAGAAAATCTCGCGTCGGATCTGACAAAAAGGATCCTGATTATCGATGGAGCAATGGGTAAGAAATTGTCTTGCTATTCATGGACAAGGTAGTAAACATATACTTTCGTTATGCATTATGCAGGTACAATGATTCAAAGAGAAAAATTAGAAGAAGAAGATTTCAGAGGAGAACGCTTCAAAGATCACTCGAAATCCTTGAAAGGAAATAATGATTTGCTCTGTATTACTCAGCCAAGAATAATAATTGACATTCATAAGGTTGGTGGATTTCTATGAACATCAATTTTGCAAATACATACATACAAACTTTGCTCAATTTCATGCATGAATTTATTTTAGAAATACTTGGAAGCTGGTGCAGATATATTGGAGACCAATACGTTCTCGGGGACAAGGATTGCTCAGTTGGATTATGCCACTCAGGACATTGCGTATGAACTTAATCTCGAAGCAGCGAAATTGGGTTAGTAAATTTGAACGACAATTTACAATTATCTTTCTTCATCTTCCCCGTGATTGAAGTGATTATGAAATGATTTCTGTAGCGAAATGGTTGGCTAATTTTGATTACTTTTATCTTGTTTTGCGTTTAATTTCAAGCCAAGCAAGCTGTCAAGGAATATCTGGAAGAAAATAAAGGAGAATCAGGAAAATACGTAGCTGGAGCTTTAGGACCCACGAATAGAACGCTATCCATTTCTCCATCGGTTGAGAAGCCAGAGTATAGAAATATAAGTATGAACTTGCATAGCATTTAAACATTATTTTGCATTGAGACTTGTCCTTGGCTAATTCCTGCTTAATGTTTGTAAATAGCTTTTGATGAACTAAAAGATGCGTACAAGGAACAAGCTAAAGGTCAGTTCATTTCGTTATAGTGTTTGATATGAATTCCCGTGAACAAGATATGATGGGTCATATAGGTCTCTTGGATGGGCTCGTTGATATTCTACTCGTCGAAACCATTTTCGACACGGCCAATTCAAAAGCTGCTCTTTTTGCCATACAGGAGCTGTTTGAGGAGGAAGGATATTCTCCCGTGCCGATTATGGTGCGAATTATCATTACTTATTAACGGCCCTATTAATTTTGATTATTGTTTTATATATAAATTTACTTGTTGCAGATTTCTGGAACTATTGTAGACAAAAGTGGAAGAACGCTATCAGGGCAAACTCCTGAAGCGTTTGTGATAAGCGTGACGCACTCCAACCCCATGGCGTTAGTGATGATAATAATATGATATATTTCGTAGCATGTTTTTATAATTCAGTTTGTGCTTACAGAATTGGGCTAAATTGTGCCCTTGGAGCGTCAGAAATGAGACCATTTATAAAAAGGCTTGGCGATATGACGGACAAATTTGTAATTTGCTACCCAAATGCTGGTATTTGGACCAATATATTTATTAATCTTTACTCTTGACTCTTGACACGTTTTTCAATTAATTTGTTTAGGTCTTCCCAATACCTTCGGCGAGTATGATGAAACGCCAGAAAATATGGCTGAAACTTTAAAGGGATTTGCTGAGGACGGAATATTCAACATTGTTGGTGGTTGTTGTGGAACTACTCCTGCTCACATTCGGTAAGATCATCCCAGTTTTTTGTCCTCGCTTAAATGTTTTAACCAGTATCTCGTCTTTCTTAGAGCCATCGCTAACGCCGTGAAGAACATTAGTCCTCGTGAATCGGGTCATAAGAGGTTCAGTGACGACATGATGCTCTCAGGACTAGAACCAATGAGAATTGGGTTAAACACAAACTTTGTAAATATTGGTGAACGATGCAATGTCGCTGGGTCCAGGATGTTTTGTCGACTCATAAAGGACGGGAAATATGATGTAAGAAAATAACAATTTTATTGTTTTTCTATATTTACTGTATCTCACTTTTAGTATTGTTATGATATTGCAGGAAGCCCTTAGTGTTGCAAAGAAGCAGGTTGAAAACGGAGCCCAAGTTTTGGATATTAATATGGATGAAGGAATGGTAATAATGTCTTGGTTTTAGTGCAAGTGTCCATTTAAATATCAATCAATACCTTTTTCAGTTGGATGGCGTATTTGCGATGGGTAAATTTGTCAATTTGATATCCTCAGAGCCAGAGATTTCAAAGGTATGATACAACATAACAAATACTTAAACCAGTATGTTAAGCTGACTATTCCGGTACTTGTCTACCTTTCAGGTTCCATTATGTATTGACTCGTCAAATTTCAACGTAATTTTGGCCGGATTAAAATGCACTCAAGGAAAGTGCATTGTTAACTCGATTTCCTTGAAGGAAGGTGAAGTTGACTTTGTAGCAAAAGCAAAGGTTGTAAAGAGATTTGGGGCAGCAGTTGTGGTCATGGCCTTTGATGAACAAGGGCAAGCAACTGAAGTGGACAGAAAGTTGGAGATTTGTGAACGATCTTTTCGAATTTTGGTGGATAAAGTAGGATTCAATCCCAACGATGTCATCTTTGGTACAAATCTTAACATAATTTATATTTATAAAAATATCTCCCAGTTTGAATATAACGTACATTTATTTAAATCTTAGATCCAAACATTCTCACGTTAGGTATGTGTTTTTAACCATAAATGTGCATTACTTTTCCACGTACCAATTATTGTAATAGCCTGAATTTGATAGGGACTGGCATGGAGGAGCACAATGAGTATGGAAAAAACTTTATCGAAGCGTGTACTGCAATCAAGGTATATTTATTACTTAGTCGCATCAAGCCAAACTACATATATAGATTTATTTACTCGTATTTAGGATAGTAACATTAATCTACATACATATTATGTTATATTAATTCATAGAAAAGATGTCCAGGATGCAGAATTAGCGGCGGAGTTTCCAATATTTCGTTTTCCTTTAGAGGAAATGACCTTGTTCGTGAAGCCATGCACTCAGTATTTTTGTACCATGCAATTAAGGTTAGAAAAAAACTGTAAATTGCTTTGATAAATAAAAACTCTTAAACAATCTTCGTTCTTCTTTCTAGGCGGGTATGGATATGGGAATCGTGAACGCAGGAATGCTTCCATTATATGACGACATTGACAAAAAATTGTTGCAGCTCTCTGAAGATATTCTATGGAATAAGGATCCTGAAGTGAGATTATCTAATCTCTTAATTTGAATCTTATCCAGTTATTGTTCATGACCTATTGTTTTTAGGCAACTGAAAAATTGCTAGAATATGCTCAATCAAATGCGAAAACAGCTAAAAAGGAAGAAAAGGAGGCAGAGTGGCGAACATTAAATGTAAAAGAGCGTTTGGCACATGCGCTCGTTAAGGTATGCATGCTTTTGTGAAAGCTTGATAATATAATTCACGACCAATTCTTACAATATTTGTGCTTATTTATTATCCAGGGAATTGATCAGTATATTATTGAGGACACAGAAGAATGTCGTCCCTTGTATGGCCACCCTCTGAACGTTATTGAAGGACCATTAATGGACGGTATGGGACAAGTCGGAGATTTGTTTGGTTCCGGAAAAATGTTTTTACCTCAAGTGATAAAATCAGCACGAGTGATGAAGAAAGCAGTGGCATACCTGATTCCATTTATCGAGGAAGCAAATAAATCGCAGTCGCAGGAGGTACACATTTATGATCAACAATCAAAGTAGAATTTACAACAGAGAAACATTTCATTATTTCAATATTTATCTGTTTGTACATACTTTCGTAGGCCCACAATCACGGAACAGTTGTCCTTGCCACGGTCAAAGGGGATGTGCATGATATTGGGAAAAATATTGTTGGGGTTGTATTAGGATGCAATAATTACAGAGTAATTGATTTGGGAGTAATGTGTCCGTGTGACAAGATTTTAGAGGTAGCCATCAAGGAAAAGGCTGGTACGGATCACTATATAATTAAACAGTTAATGCTCAATTGAGATATTTATCATGTCTTTTTTTTCTGGATTTCAGACATTGTTGGATTATCGGGCCTTATTACACCATCGCTCGACGAAATGATTTATGTGGCAAAAGAAATGGAACGCCTCCATTTCCAAGTTCCGTTATTAATTGGAGGAGCCACAACGTCCAAGCAACATACTGCAGTGAAAATTGCTCCTCGATATAAAAATCCAGTTGTGCATGTGCTTGATGCATCGAAGAGTGTGTCTGTGGTAAGTAGTAAATATGATCATCCGAAACGGATGAGGTCATGCGGGCATGAAATAATAGACATTTAAATTAGTATTTTTTAATGACTTCAGTGTTCCGCCCTATTGGATAAAGTGAATCGCGACACATTCTTGGAAGATATCAAAGATGAATATGAAGACATTCGAGAAGACCATTATGATAATCTTAAAGAAAGGAAATACTTGTCGATTGAAAAAGCAAGGGAAAAGAAATTGAATATCAATTGGAATGATTATCGTCCCAGTAAGCCTGTACTTTTCATGTGTGATTATTAAATACAAGTTATCATGGTTGACCTATTTTTTGTGGTTAATTTTCAGCAACACCTTCTTTACTTGGAACTGCGGTCTATAAAAATTATGATCTAAATAAACTGTTGGATTACATTGATTGGAAGCCGTTCTTTGATGTGTGGCAACTCAGAGGAAAATACCCGCACAGGGGGTTTCCAAAGTTGTTTAACGATCCTACAATTGGTAATATTATCGAATTACTGTTGGGATTACATGCTTATGGATATTGTTTTTATTTTACTTATGCCTATGTACAGGTCAAGAAGCTAAACGAGTTTATGACGAAGCTCAAAAGATGCTTGGTGAATTCATTAAAACCAAGAGTTTAGCAGCACATGGAATTGTGGGATTTTATCCTGCAAATAGTAAAGGAGACGATATTTTAATCTACGCACCTGGTAGTGAAACCGGATCTGAGCCGATAGCAGTCTTTCACGGTCTTCGTCAACAAGTAATTTTAATTTTGGAAGATTTTGTACGATATATGATTCGTATAAGTGTAACATGAATTTTCTTATGTAGGCCGAGAAGGAAGTTAGTACCGAGCCGTATTTATGCTTGTCAGACTTTATCGCCCCTGTGGAGTCAGGCATTGCTGATTACATTGGAGTATTCGCCGTGTCTGCTGGATTTGGGTGTTCCGAAATCGTTGGAAAGTATGTAATCAAGACCATACAGATGTTATTGGGAAATAAAGTGTAAATCTTAACAAATATTTTAAAGGTTTGAGAAAAACTTGGACGATTACAACTCCATTATGGCAAAAGCTATTGCTGACAGGTTGGCAGAAGCGTTTGCTGAAGAATTACATCTCCGAGTTCGAACCGAGTTATGGGGTTACAATTCCAAAGAAGCCCTCGAAGCTGGAGATTTACTAAGTATAAAATACGAAGGAATACGCCCTGCTCCGGGTTATCCCAGCCAGCCCGACCACACGGAGAAGAAGACCATGTGGAAGTTGTTAAATATCGAAAAAGATACAGGAATAACGCTGACCGACTCGCTGGCGATGGAACCAGCAGCTTCGGTGTGCGGTTTATATTTTAGCCATCCTAAAAGCACTTATTTTGCGGTTGGAAAAATACAAAAGGACCAAGTACGATAATACCATTCTGAAATATTACTTTTTATGTCAAACTGACATATCATCAACTTTTGTTCTGTTACAGATTCAAGATTACTCCACCCGAAAGGAAATGGGAGTGCCAGAAATAGAAAAGTGGCTCAACATCCAACTGGCGTACGATCGAGATGAAGAGTAGTATTAAGTTAACAACAAACGTTTTCAATTCATCCATTAGTATTTCAATTTGCAACTGTTTTGTTAAATAGTTTAAAGGTTAATATTGTGTTGTATGCATACATACTCGGTGATTTCATGATCTATTTTGCCAAATCGGAAATATATATCTTATCTAACAATTTTGTTTCCCCAGACAACTCTTCCTTCCCATCAAGGAAGCCATAAACATATTTCCAAATCTCTATCTCTATTAGCGAACCTACATGCACGCCATCCACAATCATCCTCATCATCAACATATTTATGTATTTACGTATTTAATATAACTATCCAACGAGCATTTCTTCCTACATGCCGTACCAAAATTCTAGTATTTTAAAAATTATTACTTCCGCTTGACTACCGTCGAATCATGCCTTCTCGAAAACCTTCGGCGTCGGATACTGCAAGAGTCACGTTCAGAACTGAGCCATCCACTGGATCCATCAGCAGAAGATCTCTTCGACCCACTATCGCCCCACCTCCAAGAACGACCTACCAAACTCCATCAAGTTTAATACCCAGAACGCCACCAATTTCAATCCCATCCACGATCCCAGGAGTGCGGTCTCGAGTAGGATCGACTCGTCGATTTGAACTGAGTGACCTTTCCACTCGTAGGGCAGTAACACAGAGGGCAACCCTCGTAGGTAAAAAAAGTGGTCACAAGTATCCTGTCAATTATAACCACCCTGTGATTAAAATGTGTTTAATAATTTAACCCACAGCTGCACGGAGGGGGAGAGGAGCTACCGCAACTCCAACGATATCCACAACTGGAGAAGAAGGAATAAGATTCGAAAATCTTGACGCAGCCCGCAGAAGTTTTACTTTTGACTCTCCAAATCACAATGCAAACGATCGATCCAACGAATTCGAAGGGCCACAAAGAATTAGTCTGCTGTCCTACACGAACAGTCTTCTTCGACGACATCGCGACGAGTCTCCATCCATGCGAAGAATTAGTCCTGGAATGAGGGCGAGCCGGAGCCGCGGATGCATTTCCAATTCCAATTTAAGTCGGGGATCAGTCAGCAAAGTTTTGGAAGGAAAGGGGGATAAATATCTGCCAAAGATATTCCAAAGTTTCAACTGGGCCGAGTTACTCCCGATGCGGCGTGTCTGTAAAAAGTGGTTGGAGGTGATTTCCACAAACCCCGTCGTATCGGATCGCTTAGGAGTCATCGTGATTACGAGTAACAGCTGGGAAGATCAGCTTCAATTGTTCAATGAGTCTCCAGTTATTTGGACAAAGTTCAGAATTGAAGCCAATCTATTTATCGATTTGATGGATTCAATTCAGCTTCAATTTTGGATGAAGCATGGGTCCATGATGAAATCGTTGGAAATTAAAAACAAGTCTATGACGCTTACTGGATTGGTGGAAGTGTTGTCACGATGTCCAAACCTGTCACGATTCCTAGTTCGCTGGACACCGGAAATGTACCCGTTTAATGCAGAGTTAATCAAGAAGGTGTTATGCTTAGAAATTTAATGTTTTGCTCAAACTTATGATTTACGTTGTATGTTCTTCCGAATTGCTGCTTAGTATTACGGAATCAATTTTTACAATGGTACATTTGCAAATATGAGAGAGATCAGTGTGGAACGAAGCTGCTACCTTAATGACAACGCGCTGATGAGTCTTCTCAAATGGTGTGGTGGTACTTTGAAGTAATTAGTTATTCATAATTTTATAGTTGTCATATAAAAATTCCGTAAAGGAGTTAATATATTAAGCTTAACATTTAAATAACTTTGATGGATTTAGATCGGTTTTATTGACCTATCCTCCCGAAGAAGAGCAAGACCCACTCACACGATTAAAGCCCCGATGGACTATCCAGCCCTTGAAGAACTACATTGACCGATTTGGCTACACAGGAAATCTTCAATACTTGGACTTTTCGTGGAGTAACATTTCTCCTGCGGATATGCATACGCTCGCCGATATTGATAACTTGTCCATGTTGAAAGGAATTTCTTTAAATCATTGTAAAGTGGATGATAAATCCATCTCCTATTTCCTGGTGAGAAAGGGTGGACGACTAGAAAAGTTGGAAATTGAAGATACTCCACTTACCGATGTAATCTTTAGGACTTGTGAAATTAAGCAAGGTGATTAACTAGTCAGTAGTCACTAACTGCTAATGTTACCCATTATTTACCAATAATTAAACCTATGAATTGATTTTCAGTGTCAGTTCCACGACTCAAGTCCCTCAACATTTCTGGGCCTCAGGGAGACTACCAAAATATAAATTTTCTCCATCACCTCCAATTTTTGGAAGAATTTATTGCTCGAAATACTTCTTGGCTTGATTACAACAAACTCATGCCTGCCATCCAGTCGAGAGGGAAACATTGCAATTTGCGAGCTGTCGACATTTCCGGGACGATTAAGGTTGACGGAACCAAGCAAATCGATTGTAATATGAATCGTGTCTGGTTTACATACTTGGCAACTACTTTGTCAAAAGTGGTCCGATTGAACTTGAATCAATGGACACAGTTCGGCAAGAACGATAATTTTCGATTGATTTGTCAATTAATGCCACTTCTGGAAGAACTCCGCCTACGAGGATGGAAAGATGTGACTGATTCGGGCGTTACGGGACTTCCTGCGGAAAAGTTGCACAGTCAAAAGAATATTTCACTTGGGTCTAAAGAACAAAAGGAGAGGATTTATGTTGGCTCACTGACCCGTGAGCTGTTTAGTAATCAGTTATTACTAAATTACGTGACAGATTTGTCCCCACATTTTCGCATCAAACAGGTTTGACTTGCCTCGATCTGAGTGAAAGCAGTATCACGGACGCCTCGATTAAATATGGAATTAACTCCATCCCGTATTTGAGAAAATTTGCGTTCGATTATACGCAGGTAAATTAATTACATGTTAACATAGTACTTCAATACTAATTTTGATGCTTCCGTAGATCAGTGACTTTGGCGCCAGCTCATTAATCCACGATAATCGAACCATTGACAAAATTTCATTTACCGGCTGCAGCAAAATGGTTAATAAAAAACCAAAACTACAGCGCGACGATGGCCGAATTATTCACACCGGAAGCATTTAAATTGAAATGGAGATATATTTAACGGAATATGATTCCTCATGCTATTTAGAAGAAAATTGCTGCGTATAATAAATTTCAAATTGATGTATGTATGCCATATCACGGCAAAAAAGTATATGTATGTTGTAGACACCGATATTTCGATTTTATTTCACCATAATTCAGTGAATTAAATACTCTGTAGTTTGTAACTCTTGGTAAATTTATGGTACATATATATGTTTAAGTAATTTAGTTGATCAGTTCGTTTTGTTTACGGCAACGTCCCTTCGTCCTTCAGCACTTGCAGGGCAGCAAGGGCCCCTTGAAATGCGGCATTGTAGTCGGTGGCCACCTCATTTTTGATGTAGTCACCTCGGTCATCAACATAATCGTCGTTTGGCCCAGGTCCTCCGACAAGTGCGCCCCACAACGTTTGGTAATTTGGACCTGGATTGTTCATTCCATTATTGTAGTCGCAAGGACTTGGTCGGTTTGGGCATGAACTATAGTTTATAGTAAAGTTTAGGATTAGAAAATGATAGATCTGCGATTAATATGTTAAAATGTTTCACCTTGATCGATGATGCGGACTTTTGGGAGGATTTACTCCAAATCCGACGACAAAGCTGCGACCCCCATCGCCCAACGCGTAGTTGATTTGCTGCTTTGCAAACGCTCGATATACGTCTGGTTTTATTCCGACGTCGGCTGCTTGGAGGCAAATAAACGCCACGTTGCTGGAATGTCGGAGGGAACCCCATTCCGAAAGCCACACGAGACCTTTGGGTGTTCGACGCACGTCGTTAATAATGTAGTCACAAAATGCTTCCGCGGAGTCCTTGTACATTTGGTTGTTCGTTATGCGAGCCAGAAGAACCTGGGATAGTAATAAATACAGTATTGTTCAGCCCATATTTCGTCATTCAACAAACTGCTGTACTAAAATAGAAATTGCATGTACCTGGAGACCAGCTTTCTTATCATCCCAACTGAACTCCAGTGGACGTTCCCCTAAATTAAATTCCTGCCAATGTGTAGCGACATCATCCAAGTAACGTGTAACGTTGGTGGCCCGATAAAGCCACGCGGCTGCCCAACCAAGCTCATCACCATAGCCGGACCATGAACTAAATATATGATACATCTTCAGTGATAAGGGTTGAATAATTTCATTAATTTGTTAAAGCAATACTTGTAAAATCCTCCAGCAGGAATCGCGTCTGTGTAAGTTCCACGGAACTGGTTGGCAAAGTCGTACAAGGTGGTGGCATGATTTAAAAGCGTGGAAGCGTAGGTTGGATTTACATCCTTGAAAGCCAAGTATCCTGAAGCAAATGCAGCCGCAGCTTCTCCAGCCAGTTCGGAACCGGGTTGTTGTTGCGTAATTTTGTACGAGTTTCGTGCCCCCAAAGTCCAATCCTCTGGGCGACCCCAATAACCGTGATCTTGTCCTCCATCGCCCGTTTGTCCGTAAAACTAGAGTATTTAATAATTATTACACATCTAGTTTAGCTGGCTGGATATTGTGTCTGATATTATCGGCTTATATGTAATTACCACGAAATCTGAGGGATGTGCTTTAATAAAATAGTCCAGTGACCATTTCACAGCGTCCAACGCATTCTGCAACTCTCCAGCCGACTCGTAACCTTGTTTGTAATCGACAATTCCCCAATTAAGAACCGTGGTAAAGTAGGCGAATGGAAATCTAAATTAAATTAAAATTTTGTGTGAAATGAAATTTAACCTAAATTGCAGCTAAATTTTTTCATACCCAAATTTTACGTGATCTCCAGCTAAAAATTGACATTAAAAATACTGTAATTGGTACAAAATGTCAATTATGAAACAACTCACCATCAAAATATCCACCAACCAGATCGATGTCGCCGTCCTTGTCGTCCAAGAACGAGTCACCTCGATACATGATTCTGTTACTTTCAGGAAGCCTTCCAGATCGTTGAGCTTCATAAAATTCGATCGATAGACCAAGAACTTCCTCGTAATGATAATCACCGTCTGGAAGTGGGGGCCTCGTTGGACGGACGGTTGGAGGGGGTGGGTCAATGAAGTCTAAATCATGATTTAGTTAGACAATCAGAAGCATACATTAGTAGAACTATCAGATAATTGACATTTAGGTATGTCCACACCTGTATTTAAGTCTTCCCCATTATAAACTGCAAATTCTAATTGAGGCATGGCGCAACAATAGCGGACATAAAAATCGATACTCCATTCGCCAGGGCCGTGTTGATCCTGCGCCGCATTTCCAATGACCACGACATTTCCTGCTTGTTCTCGAATCTGAGAGCCTGGATTGTGAATCTGTTATTCCAGTCAAATTCATATCAATTTGATTCCTTCAATCCTTACAACAAGTAATAGATAATTACCATAAATCCATCGATGTCAAACTCAAAGGTGAACCTGGCTTCCCAGTTGATCACTGTTTGGCTCAGGTTAAGGTACAATTTCGCCTCGTAGTTACCAGAGTTATGTCGAACATACTCCAGTCGACCATTCGCCGAGACAAATTGTCCTCCGTGAAGAAGAACAAATATCAGGACAAATAAATAGTGCTGCATGGCTACTTTATTTCTTTTTGACAAGCTAAGCAAATAAAACGCTACCGAAGACTAACTTTTGGTCAACTTAGCCGAACCTTTTTATACCCGGTGAAGTGCAGATAAATACGTCAAAGTGACAAATTGGATCAAAATTTGATTGATTAAGGTGAACTACACCCATATCGACACCCTTTAACATGACTTCCATTTGCACACGAACCCTGATCTGTGTGTTGTTTATGTTTTCATGTTATTTTTCCCATTGCGGGTAGTATGATAAGCATACGTCGGATATTAATGAAAAATAACTTTTTCTATGTATTTACCTACGGTCCCCAAACTTTCTGAGAATGTTTATGGTCAATAGTAGGTCACGTAGGTCAAAGCATATTTTCTCATATTGGTCATATTTTCGGGTTTTGGGATATATTTATTAATATTCTCGGTCATATTTTGGGCTTTCATCATTCATTTTATGACTTTTGGCCAAATTTTAAGATGTTTTATACCAAATTGCCAGAAAATAACACAAATTCATTTTTTTTTCAAAATGATTAATTGTGAGAAATTTACAGGAATTTATACTCACTTTTGTCTTGTGCGATTTAATTCATTGTTAACGAATTAAATCATCCCATGCAGAACTTGTTTTTTTTATCAAAATAATCTCACACAAGCCAATACATAATTATAAAAATTAAGTCATTTTTGTGGTCATATTTTGGGAATTTTTAAGGTAATTCTGCATTCATATTTTGAGGTTTTAACGATCATTCATATCCGACGCACTTATCGTTGATAGGTGCGTTGTCAACATTTGGGGACGTGATATGTATTTAGGTATGGATGAGATTCGCATATCACATCACTCAAACAATGGTACTTTTCATATCTAAACAATTCAAATAACACAGATAATCAATGTCACTTGCATGCAGTTTATCAATTTCATGTGGCATTAGAGTTAAAAATAAATACTGGAGGTAGTGATTAAATACTCCAACATTTGTAGACTTGAAAAAGATTAACCAAACATTCTTGAAAATGGTTATATAACTACTGTACTCGTACGCAAAAATACTTATGAACGGTAGACCGATCGTGCTAATCTTCGAGATCATGTAAAAATTGCATATGAATAAATAACTGGTCAGGGTTTCTCAAGGCTATGGATTGACGACATTTTTGTTAAATGCATATGTATCTAGGATAGGGGAAAGTCCATGAGAAAGCTGGGTGCATCCAGTGGCCGCGGAAGCCGTGGGGACATGTGGGGATATTAACATTGTACATACGTAGGATAGGGAAGGGAGGAGTTTACATAACCTGGCCAAATGATGGGGACATTGAATAACCGTGGGGGCATTGTCGTTCTACGCTTTCTTGGCCACTGGGTGCATCAACGAGAAAACTTCAAAAACTTGAAGGAATCCTGGTCCTCGTTTTGAAAAAGTGTCGAAATGACGCCTAAAAATCAGAGGGGTAAATTTTTAAATTGGTAGGTCACTCTTTGTATAAAATGTATTCCAGAATTTAAATAATGCGATCAATTTATCGATAAATCGCATGCTGTCGACTGGGTTCATTGATGGTGGGGTGGAAGAGACGCAGGGTAAGTCGGGGGAGAGGGGAGTCGGAGCAAATTAATAATTCGAAGAATTACAACAAAATTACTACAAAACCCTTATCAGCAAGTAAATTATCATGGCTTAATTACAACCTTCTCTTATTTCGCAAGGAGCATTAGTTATTTATTCATAGAAAAATTCTTAGATAATTCATTTATTAATGGGTTAAACATTCGTCGCAGTGAATTTACGGACTTAGGATTAATTTAGGGCGAGGTCATTCCGCTTGATGGAAATTCGAGGAAGATTTAATATTAGTTGTTGTACTGTACCCATTATTTTAGATTCTTTGTTGGCTTCCGTCTAGCGTTAATTACTAACACCTCATTTCACGGCTATTACTTATTTTAATTTTGATGATTCCGTAGATCAGTGACTTTGGCGCTACGTCATTAAACAACGATGCGGTCGCCACACCCACTCAAAGTTGTCCAAAAAAACTAGAAAAGGAGAAAGTAGTACTTTCACTCATTCAAATCTACGCCAAAAATCCTTACTGATGCGGCGTGTGTGGTAGCAAGGGGTATTTTGGTAATTGGGTGGCGTTGGTAAATTTTGCATCTGTCGATTTAGTATTACCATAGCCAGCTAGCCTATGGCCAGGGAACAAATTTACGGTCGATGCCGGCCTCAATTCACTCAGCATGTCTCATCTTACGAGAAATTAAAACCCTCGACTGTAAATTTGTTCCCTGGCCTGCCTTAGACTAGCTGGTTATAGTAATACTGGAAGTATACAACATATTTGGTTTGAGACATAATAACAAATTATCACAATTTATGACGTTATAGAATACAAGTTAAATGAATGAACAGAAGAACATTACCGCGTGTAATGACTTTCAAATTGGTCTATGCATATTGCAAAAAAGTATATTATTACTAATAATTTGACTTTATTTCACCATAATTCATTGCACCACATACTTATTTAGCAGTGTACAACGATTGGTAAGTACATGATTTAGTAGGTCGTTTTGTTTACGGCAGGTTCCCTTCGTCCTTCAACACTTGAAGGGCAGCAAGGGCCCCTTGAAATGCGGCATTGTAGTCGGTGGCCACCTCATTTTTGATATAGTCACCTCGATCATCAACATAATCGTCGTTTGGTCCAGGTCCTCCGACAAGTGCGCCCCACAACGTCTGGTAATTGGGACCTGGATTGTTCATCCCATTGTTGTAGTCGCAAGGACTTGGTCGGTTTGGGCATGAACTATAGTTTATAGTAAAGTTCAGGATTAGAAAATTATAAATCTGCGATTAATATGTTAAAATGTTTCACCTGGATCGATGATGCGGACTTTTGGGAGGATTTACTCCAAATCCGACGACAAAGCTGCGACCCCCATCGCCCAACGCGTAATTGATTTGCTGCTTTGCAAACGCCCGATATGCGTCAGGCTTTATTCCCGCGTCGGCTGCTTGGAGGCAGATATACGCCACGTTGCTGGAATGTCGGAGGGAACCCCATTCCGAAAGCCACACGAGACCTTTGGGTGTTCGACGCACGTCGTTAATGACGTAGTCACAGAACGCTTCTGCGGCGTCCTTGTAAATTTGGTTGTTCGTGATGCGAGCTAGAAGAACCTGTGCAATTCAATAAATGCGGATTAATAAATGTTCTGCTATCACATTTTCGCCGTTCGCCAAATTCTGCATGTACCTGGAGACCAGCCTTTTTATCGTCCCAACTAAACTCCATTGGACGTGCCCCTAAATTAAATTCCTGCCAATGTGTAGCAACATCATCCAAGTAACGTGTAACGTTGGTGGCTCGATAAAGCCACGCTGCAGCCCAACCAAGCTCGTCACCATAACCGGACCATGAACTAAATATTTGAAACATTATCATTAAAAGTTGGACAATTTCATCAATTTATTAGCGCCATACTTGTAAAAGCTTCCAGCAGGAATCGCATCTGTGTAAGTTCCACGGAACTGATTGGCAAAGTCGTACAAGGTCGTGGCATGATTCAAAAGGGTGGCAGCGTAGGTTGGGTCTACATCCTTGAAAACCAAATATCCTGAAGCAAAAGAAGCCGAAGCTTCTCCAGCCAGTTCGGAACCGGGTTGTTGTTGTGTGATTTTGAAGGAGGGTCTCGCCCCCAAGGTCCAATCCTCCGGGCGACCCCAATAACCGTGATCTTGGTTCCCGTCTCCAGTTTGTCCGTAAAACTAGAGCATTTGTAATAATTATTAGCTTAGCTGGTTTGGTGGTTATTGATTGTGTTGGATATTTAAAACTGTAGGCTTCATTACTTCGAAATCTGTGGGATGTGCCTTAATGAAATAGTCCAGTGACCATTTCACAGCGTCCAACGCATTCTGCAACTCACCAGCAGACTCGTAACCTTGTTTGTAATCGACAATTCCCCAATTAAGAACCGTGGTGAAGTAGGCGAATGGAAATCTAAATTAAATTTAAAATTTTACGTGAACTGAAATTTAACCTAAATTACAGCTAAATTATTTCATACCCAAATTTTACGTGATCTCCAGCTAAAAATTTGACATTAAAAATACATTTATAACTGTAATTGGTAAAAAGTCAATTCACAAACAGCTCACCATCAAAATATCCCCCAACCAGATCGATATCGCCGTCCTTATCGTCCAAAAATGAGTCCCCTCGATACATGATTCTGTTACTTTCAGGAAGCCTTCCAGATCGTTGAGCCTCGTAAAACTCGAGGGAAAGACCAAGAACTTCCTCGTAGTGATAATCACCGTCGGGAAGTGGGGGCCTCGTTGGACGGACGGTTGGAGGGGGTGGGGCAATAAAATCTAAATCATAAGTTAATTAGACTGTTAGATGCATACAAATACATTAGTAGAACACTTAGATAATTGACATTTAGGTACACACCTGTATTTAGGTCTTCCCCATTATAAACTGCAAATTCCAATTGCGGCATCGCAGCTAAATAACGAACATAAAAATCGATACTCCATTCGCCTGGACCGTGTTGATCTTGCGCCGCATTTCCAATGACCACGACATTTCCTGATTGTTCTCTAATCTGAGAGCCTGGATTGTGAATCTGCAAGCCAAGTAAAAACCAGATTAATTGGATACCTTCAAAGCTACCTTAACAAATTAATAATTACAGTAAAACCATCGATGTCAAACTCAAAGGTAAACCTGGCTTCCCAATTGACCACTGTTTCACTCAAGTTAAGGTACAATTTCGCCTCGTAGTTGCCAGAGTTATGTCGAACATACTCTAGTCGACCGTTCGCCGAGACAAGTTGTCCTCCGCCAAGAAGAACAAATATCAGGACAAATAAATAGTGCTGCATGATTTATTTATTTTTGACAAGCTAGGTAAGCAAATAAAACGCTACCGAAGACTGACTTTTGGTCGACTTAGCGGAACCTTTTTATACCCGGCACCCGGTTAAGTAAGTGCAAATAAAAATGCTTCAACGTGACAAATTGGATCAAAATGTGATTGATTAAGGTGAAATACGTACACTCATCCATATCAAATAGTGTCACCCATTAATATGATTCCCATTTGCACACGTCCCTTGCTTGCACCGTGTGTTGTTTATGTTTACATCATTACATGTGATTTTGACCATTGCGAGCAATACGATAAGTGCGTTGTTAACATTTGGGGACGTGATTGCTTCAAGTAGTTAAGTAGCTTCATGTTGGTATTCATGAGATTCGCGTATCACGTTCAGACAATGGTACTTTTTATATCTACAGAATTCAAATAACACGGATAATCAACGTCACTTGTATAATGCAGGTTATCATTTTCATGTACTAATTTCATGTCGCAATTGTTTTTTAGTAGGTATGACGTTCGAGTTAAAAATAAATATCTACTGAGGTTGGTCAAGTATTCCAACGGTTGAAGACTTGAAAAAATTTAGAAATTTGGACTCATATGCAGAAATATTTATGAATGGTATAGGGCTCATGTAAAAAATTGCAGAAAAATGACTTAATTTCAAGTCTATCGGTTGACTACGTTTTGGTAAATACATCCAGAATGGGGAAAAGCCTAAGAGAAAGCTGCTGCTGCATCAACGAGAAAACGTCAAAAACTGAAGATTCTCGATTTTGAAAAATGTTTCGAAACGCAGGTTTAAATCCTGGTACCCTCTTTCTGGGTATTGAGGACAAGACAAGGACAAGTTTTTAAAATTATCATTTAAAAACCGTTTCATAATGGCTTATTTCACTGCAGCATGAAAGGAGCATGGCATCCCCGTGCTCCTTTCATGAAATCATCCACTTGTTTGCATTATGTAGCAGAATTTAAATAATCAATCGCATGCTTTCTGCGGGTGCATTGACGATGAAAGAGGTGAAGGGTGAGTCGGAGGTAAAAACAATTAAAGATTGCGAGAATTAGGACAAAATCGACATTATCAGCAAATAAATTGGCATGACTTATTACACCCTTCATTTCGTAAACAACTTTTGTTTATTCATAGAAAAATTTTTAGTGCACAATTCATTTCTTGTTATTGCACATTCGTCAGGGTGAATTTACGTACTTAGGTTTAGTTTAGGGCCAAGTCATTCCGCTTGATGGAAATTCGAGGAAGATTTAATATTAGTTGTTGTACTGTACCCATTATTTTAGATTCTTTGTTGGCTTCCGTCTATTTACATATTTCAGAAATATGTATTAACATTTCAAAATGGTACCAATTTTCATGTTTTTACCTTCTTTACCCCACGACCATATTGCAGAGGATGGTGGTGGACTTGGCAAGTCTACAAATTTAATTAAATTTAATTATTTAAATCGTAGATTGATACAGTTCGAAATTCGTATCGTACTATTGTCCTGAGGTTCCGGTGGTACTGCTGGCCCTACAGGTTTACTTGGTTGTGGGGCGTATGAAGAATTGGGGGCTGCTAGAAAAATATGTGTGCACGATTGACCCATGAAAAACTTATTCTAATTGTATTCAATTAATTACCGAAAGTTTGTGGCTGATTGTGTTCAAAATTAGTCGTACATTTTGGTTTCTGAAAGGTAACACACTTGCAGCAATAGCAGCATAAAAATATGGCAAGCATTATGACCAAGTTTGGTACGATGATGATCACGATTAAAATTGCAATTGCGGCGCCCACTCTATTTATTTATTAATTGAGCGAAATGCACTACACCTTTAGTGCATAATTACAAGTGGTGAAAGTCTGTTTAGTGCCTTACGTAATGCCGGTTAAGTCTTCAAACAGTCCACCGACATCGATATTATTAACGACGTCGTTAATGATTTCATTTTGCTTGTCCTTCTTGTGTAACTCACTTTCGATTAGGTCAATTATTTCTTTCTTTTCTCTACATGAAAGTCCGGCAGTTATTTCCGTCAGGTAAACCCCAAGAAGAAGAATCCCCACGAAATATTTCCTCATGAAAACTTGTCGCATTTTAGCATCAATTATAAATACTTCGCAAAATTCGAGTTTTGTTATTGATAAAATATAAAGCACATTTAGGATTAGTTGGCTTGGGGAGTAGAGGAACATGATTCGGATAAGCGTCCGAGATAACCATTCGGCCATTTACAAGATTTTATAAATAAACTGATCTATCATTAAAAATATAAGATAATTCAATCGTTGTTGTAACTGGGAATTCATTTTCCACCTCTCTGATAAGGATCCGTTTGTGAGTCAGACTTCGAGAGTTGTCATTTGGGAAATATTTTTTTAATTTCTACAAAATTTTGAGACTTTTGTAAAGAATCATCCGAAAATTATATTTATGCAGATAACTAATAATTACGATTTATTTTTAACATAAACAATGATAAACTATGAAATACACTTAATTGGCTTATTTGTAAAGAATTCAAAAATTCCTGACACTTCTATTACAATGCAATTTGGGTTCCTAAGACACCAAAAGTAAAGCAATCGTGGTGCTAATGGTAAAGCGTCCAACCACGATTAACCTTATAAAAACTAATTAATTTTGACCTGGATACCATTTAAAAACGGAATTAAAAATGTTTTCTATTGCATTTGGGGGCGGATTTACTGGGGGCAGAATACCATTGAGACCGACTTGTGGGGCGGTGATAAAATCAGTTGGGGACTGAATTAATGCAAACCGATTTTGAATATTCTACTGATGTAGTTATGATTTATTAGGGACCTGGAACTGATTCGACAACAAAAATTAGAACATAATACATTTTTAACATGAAATTGCAACTGAACCAAATGAACACACGATATTAATTTTGATAAAAAGATCGGATTTGATTTTGATAGTACTACAAAAATAAACTAAACGAATAAATCGTCATCATTCATGTCATCAATTTGATGACACTGATTTTGGGATGCATTTTATATTTTAAACAAGTTATTAGCTATAATTTTGTCCTTCAGTGTTCTGTGACTTGTTCCGATCGGTGGTGACACGATTGCGAATATATTAGCTAAAGAGAACGTTGTGATAATTTTAAAAAAATATGAACTGTATCATATTTACAACATGATACAGGTCAGAGGTCAACGCCGACCAATTTATTAGCGGCGCCCATGTTGGATAATTTTTCGGGGGCGCGGCGTGACCTCTGATGCACTTCCTCCGAGTTCCTCCCCCACTACAACTACAACTCTAAACTCTAAAAAAATTAGTTCAGGCTTGAAGAAAAACCAACGACAAATAAGGAGGAAAGAATGGAACTGAGAAAATTTTCTCGGTCATTTTATTTTTATTTTTTCCTACACCTTATTGATGTAGCCCGGTCTCAACGGAATTCTGTAACCATACACCTTATTGGTGGAATCCGTCGCCAACGAGAAAAAGTTGGCCTACACCTTATTGGTGTAGTCCGTCGCTAAGGCGAAAAATTTGGCCTACACCTTATTGGTGTAGTCCGTTGCCAAGAGATCGAAATCGCCCTCCACCTTATTGGTGGAATCCGTTTTTAAAAGGTTAACTGACATCGTTTCTATGGGCGGTGCCCCATACGGTTGCGACAAATGAATTATTTTGAAAAAAAATTTTCATTTTTAAGGTACCACAAGAGAGTTGGCAAGGAATTATGCCACCCACTTTGATTGTAATTTTCTCAGAAATTATAGTAGGGACAAATTTGGTTCAAATACAAATTTTGTAAAAAATATACTGCTCTAAATTTTGGCAAATGTCATCTTTTGCTGTTACTTATACTTCCGTATTTATAGCCAAAATAGTCGAATATGATGAATTTTTTTTAAAACTTCCTAGCGTCAAAACCATACGGAGCACAAATGTGGGACTCCCACATTGTGCGAAATAGTTTTACATGGGGAGCATAATGGGTCTCATTTCCATATTGTCTTCCATGCTTTTCCAAATAGCATTTCTATACTTGCCCCTCCCTATTATTTTATATTTCTGAGGGCAAAAATGGTTCACATCTCATTACCTGACTCAAATGAGCCCACCAACCGATTATGCACCCTGCAGAAATATATAGTGACTCCAAATAACAACCATTATGACCTCAAAGTCCACCCCCTCCATCTCGGGGAGCTCTTAAAAATACCCCAATGCCCTTGTTGCTATACGGAGCCGTACTTCATGTCTTGACTCATTTTCTCTAAAAAATTATGTTGCTAAGTCCAGAAAAAATTGAAATATTCAACCTCTTGTGGTACCTTAAATCTTTGGGCCTTGTCCGGCCCAACGACTTTAACCTTGAATAACTTTTGAACAGGCAGACATAGAGACTTAATTCCTGAGGAGGAAATCATCCTAATTTTTAGCTTGATTTTTTAAGCTAAAAATCTCGAGTGTACTATTTCGATAGCTAAAACGTTTATTTTGAAGAATATCTCCAAATTATAAGTTTTTCAGCCTATTCTTATCTCACAAAATTCTATAATATACCAAAGTGATCATATGATCTAGACCGATCGATTGACACCCCACTGGAGGGTGTGGGATCACTTGACCCGGATTTGACCTAGGGGGTCATCTCAATCATCCAACTTAGCAACGGTCCACTCACACTATTTTTTCAGTACATAATAATTAAAATTTAATTTCTTCAAAAATGAAAATTTGTGTTGGAAACAATTCATTTGTCGTAACATGTATAGAATGATAAAGTGTCAAATAATATTGGCGTCCAACAATCTTGCCTTCTCATGTGACTAGAATATTTATTAATACATGTATGCCACAAAGTCTTGTCTTTCCTACTAGGTTTCCCGTGATGGCTTGTTCTGATAATTCGAACCTTTCAGAATTAGAAAATCTACCAAACCGCTCACATTCGCCCCTCCCACAAAACCGAGATGCATGGGTGTCCGAGGCGTTAGACTTGTTTTACAAAGAGTTTAACTACGTTGATGTCTGCCCTGAAAAGAAAGCCGAACTTTCAAATGAGAAAAATGGCAAATCGTGTTGCTGCGATTTTACCCAGCTCACTAAATTCATGCAGCAACAGATCCAACTTCAACTCCAACAGCAGCAACAATGTGGTGGTCAACAATCCGGTGGTCAACAATGCTGTGGTCAACAATCCGGTGGTCAACAATCCGGTGGTCAACAATGTGGTGGTCAACAATCCGGTGGTCAACAATGCTGTGGTCAACAGAACCAGAAACAACAATGTCCAATGACAAATACTGAACAAAATGCATGCCCACTTAATCCACCAGTGCCACCACCACCACCCGCACCTGCATCAATTTGCTCATCAGTCCAACAAAGTCAGGCATGCTGTTCGCAATATTTCACCCCTGTCGCCCCCGTACAGCCACCATGCCAAGGTCAAGGTGAAAGTATTGCTAGACCCCCACAGAACTTGGCGTGCCCTAACAATGGACCCACTCCGAATTTTGGGGGATGCTGTGGTCAAAGATGCGGTGGCGCAACAAATGTCTCAAATAACACAGGTTTCAAGCTTTCACTCAACAACTTTCTTCACATTGAGTTGAGTGTGATCATCATGCTCCAATTTTTTGTCCTGTGTGTACAGCATGTCATCAAACGCCTCCTTCCACCAGCGAAGGTCAAGCTCGTTGCGGATGCCGGGCAGCAGCTCTAGGGACGAAATCCAACCATGCGGGAGTCGGTGTAGCAAAATGCCCGCAGCCACCACCACCACCACCACGTAAGTCAGCCAAGCAATGTGGCCACTCATGCATGAAGCCCGTGTGTATTACTTTCTCCTGTGTGTGACATGATATGGCAGAGGTTCATTAATAATAACATATCGTCCCACCCGGATTTTATTTAGCTTGTCCACCACCTCAAGCAACAATGCAGACTGGTGAATCGCCTCCAGACCCCGGAACGCAAAAAAAGGAGATGATTGAAGGAGATGGAGAAGAAGACGGTTATGGGGGCTGGAAGTTGAAAGACATTGGCGAAACTGATGGAAATCGGGGAAGCGGCGGTGGCGGTGGTGGAAAGGACGGGGAAGAAAGGTCTTGGGCGTTGAGGGACATTGGCGAAGTTGACGCAAATCGTGGTGGTGGAAGCGGCGGTGGTGGTGGTAAGGACGGGGAAGAAAGATCTTGGGCGTTGCGGGATGTTGGCGAAGTCGGACCCACTTCAGAATTAGGTGTTGTAAAAAAAGACATCTGCTAAGCCATGCTTAAGAGATTTGTAATCTAGTAAAAGAAATATGAACAGGGTGGAAACCAATGTTTGGCAGTCGTGGTGGTCCGCCGGGCGATGGAAACGCTGCCCAAAAAGGAGACTGGACCGCGCTGGATGTCGACGTGCAAAAACCTGAGCCTGTAAACGTGTCTGTCGTTGAAAATGTGCAAGCGAACGCAGCAGTAGCAGGGGCACGAATGCCTATGCCTACAAGTACAAAAACACTAAAATATGTCTCATCTACCCCACAATTATTTATTCAGGAATGGCTTATCTTGTTGCAGATTATCGCTGTTGTCCGCCCTGTCCTGGACTCCCAACAGCTCCACCAGCTCAAAATAGCAGTAATAATGCTGTTAATGACCTCCCTCCAAAATGTGAAACTGCACAAGAAGGTACAAAATACTGGATTTGATGCCCCCTTTTATCTCCGGTCACTGTGTATTAATCGCCAAAATCGTCTAAATTATTGAAGTTGTGAATAAACCAAAAACTTGTTCAGATGCATTTTCCCCCTTTGCGTATTCCTTCCTTTTCGGTGGTGTCGTGGGTTGAGTGAATTACCCCGACAACGTGTTATCATTATTTCATGTCTAAATATGTATGTCTGTAAATTTTACAATGTCTGAGAATTTGAGTAATTGGTGTCATTTTTTTAGAGTCTGAATCAGAGAGTCAGTAGGGTCATTATTTCATGTACGTATGTCAAGTTAGTACTTATGCATGATTACTGATGCCCGATGTATGTACTCTAAAGTAATAAAGCCAAGTTTATAAGTTGATCAACACAAGTCGTTGTTCAAAAGTATATTTCGGAAGACATAAGTCGTCGCCCGAAACAGGTGGATTGGATATACATGCCTCGAAAGTAGTCTCAACCCGGGTAGTTTTCTCCCAGATTCGGACGGGTGAACACATACATAAGCTACTGCATACATACATTCACCGGTCTCTCTGTGTTTATCTGTTTTCAGCACACATTTCCACATTTCACGGTTTTAATTGCTCAGCCGAGACTCGAACTGTTAGTTTGTACTAATTTGGTAAATTGGTTTGTTTTCGCGAGGTGGTGACGATTATGCTGAAAGTTTAAACTGCCAGAGAACCTGCATGGGCACACCCACTCACCCGAGCCAGTCACTCAGTATTAATTTAACGTGCCAAATTGAGACGAAGTCATTTCTGCATACGTACTTACGGTAAGATAAACAGAACGCTTTCAGTATATCGTGGCATACGAGTTGCATTCTCATTCGTTTAATGTAAGTGAAACGAGGAGGATATAAAATTGTTTGTTTTTGTGCGATAAAATAAATGGCGTCATTTTTTCTTGGGTTGAGTTACACTGATACATTTTGACATGGTTCTAAATAATTTGGCTTAAAGTAATGTCCAAAAATAATTTATGGATGTCTCTGTAATGTTTATGATTCAAGATTTTTTTAAAGTTCAAAATTTGTAACTGTAAAAAATCTTTAAACATTTGAAATTTGCGTAGAAAAAAATTGTATGCCGCATGAAAATGTGCCCCTTCAGTTTCTTGCTACGTAATCTCTCAGTAATTATTTATAAAGACTTATTTATGCAGCGGTCTGGTCGGCCAGAGTCAAATTACTGCTGCATTTATTGTTTTACAACACCATATCATATCCCACCACCACAACTGGTGGTACTAGATATTTCCGCACAAAACTCTGTTTGGATACGTACGTACGTGTTTACGTACTTATTTCCAATAAAATCAATCAATTTTTATACACTTTTCTCTCTCCACGCTGGTTGACCACTGAGGAGTGGTTGTAGTAGCCGAGAAAGAAAAATAGCCTGGGAGCCATCGAAGCTCTCCAAGTCTGTTTGGCAGAGTGTGCAATAACTAAATAAAGCTAAGATGGGATCAAGTTCAAGTCCAAATAGGAGAAAAAAATACGAGGTCTCTGTCGTTCCGGTTGACTGGGTTTGCATCCTTTTCCCACAGACACGGGAGGAGAAAATAGTCCATTCAAGAGAAAGTAAATAGTCGTGACATGCAGAAGAAGACGTTATCAGCAGTGGCAGTGGTCAAGAAATATGTAACCACCACCACCAGCCAAGGTCTCAAGAAATCCTTATTTTTGTCCTAATTTAAAATTTGTGACCAAAAATTCATTCATCATTCGTCATATGAAGGATGGTTTTAAGTGCGGGGAGTGGTTATTCGTGTCAAGCGTGACTTTTACATTTTGGATTTTTTGCCCTTAGAGAAAGTTAGGACGAGGAAGAAGGAAAGGTTGTCACCGTTTTTCATCTATGTATCCAGTCGCAGCATGGGAAAGTAAAGTGTGAAACCGACGTTTATCGAGATGACCAAGTATCTATTGCGTAGTAGATACTGCATTTTGGTTGTTTGCACTGAAATTTAATATGATCTGCCTGCACGTCTTATTCAATTGACATCCGTCCGTGATGATACGGCTTTTTGCCCGACTTGGTTACTTTCTCCACCAAGCTTTACTTTGTGTCATCCTCCTCCTGTCATCTCGTATGTTCTGTCTCGATGGTTGTGGTGAGGATGGTAAAAGTCGATGTAAATTATTCCTTGTTTGTTCCTTCATGTCGTTCGTGGCACGTTTACTTTTCGTTTAAAGTGGGAAAAATCTGAGGAAAGTGTTTCTCTCTGTCTGTTGAGAATGCAAAGTTCCCTGATTGTGTGATTGGTAATGATGCTGTGTGATGTAAATCTCTCGTTCTTGAAATGAGGCACGTTGAGACAAAGCAGTTATATGTCACTTAAATTATTTATTTGGGGCAGTTTGCGACTTAAGAGCTTGAGTGACAAAGTAACTGGTAGACCATGGACAACAGAGTGACATCGAGATAAGAATTGTAACCAATATTTATAAGCTTCGTGTGAATGGCCGGACAAGGTTATGATTAACATGGAGACTTGTAAGTAAATTACATTTATGCTGGAAGAGCAGAACAAAATGATAAGCCGCAAACTCTTAACTAGTCATTTACCTTTAATATTAATTAGTCAAATTAATAAATAATGCATGTGCGTCAGAGGGTAGGATAGGGAAATTGAATTATACAACCTTTTCATACATAATCTTAAAAATACAAATGCAGGAGTCAAATACTTAAAATTTCCTCAACATTCCGCCGGCCTTGAACCAACGGCTTCAATAAAATTAAAATTGACAAAACTGTATACATTACAAAAATTAGAGAATTTCATCTTGGGAAGAATTTTCAATTGGGAGCAAACATAACCTTACAATGGGACGCTTGAAAACACCAGTAGACGTCTTGACCGTGACGACGCGCACTAATGAGTCATTTCCAGGGTGCAGGGCGAGGATACGACCAAGTTTCCAAACGCATGGGGGTAGGTTCTCCTCTTTAATGACGACAATATCGCCAACTGCGATCGCTCGAGATCCACTCATCCACTTCGGGCGCTGTTGGAGTCGGGATAGATATTCGGCTGACCAACGCTTCCAAAAAGCCTGGATCATTTGTTGGATTAACTGCCATCGGGAAAGGCTATTGATTTTGAGATCCAACAAGTTCGGTTCTGGAACGGCTGTTAATGGAGCACCAATGAGGAAATGTCCAGGGGTAAGAGCGGCGAGGTCTTCTGGATTGTTGGACTCAGGGGTCAACGGACGGGAGTTCAGGATCGCTTCGATTTGGCACGCTGCAGTGGTCAGTTCTTCGAAAGTCAATCGGTGCGATCCCATGATTCGCTTTAGGTGAAATTTACAGGATTTGACACCAATCTCCCAGTTTCCACCAAAATGGGGGGCGGCAGGAGGGTTCCAATGCCATCGGATTCCATCTCTTGATAGGTTATCGGCCACTTGCTGGTTATGGGATGAGGAATTTACCAATTGAACCATTTCCTTCATCTCGCGATTGGCACCAATGAAATTTGTACCATTATCGCTGTACATGTCCGTGGGTAGACCTCTTCTGCTTATGAATCGGCGAAAGGCAGCGATAAACATGTCGGTTGAGAGGCTGGTAGCTACTTCCAAGTGTATTGCTCTGGTGGTGCAGCACACAAATACTGCCAGATATGCCTTTAGAGTTATTTTGCTTCGAGGCTGGATGGGCCGAACAGAAAAGGGTCCAGCGTAGTCCACTCCACATTTCAGGAAGGGTCGAGCTGGGTTGACGCGAAATGAAGGGAGGTCTGCCATCACTTGCTGTAGAGTTTGAGCCTTTGTTCTGGTACATGTCAAGCATTTTGCAATTTCTCTTCGGACTGCATCTTTCATGCGGATGATCCAATAACGCCGCTGAAGTACTGACATCAGAAGCTGAGGACCAGCGTGAAAATGTTTCAAATGTTCAGATTTGATGAGTAATTGTGTCAAGTGATGATGGGATGACAGGAGAATGGGATGTCTTTGGTCTTCAGAAATCTTGGCATTTTTTAGACGACCACCAACCCTGAGCAATCCTATTGAATCGATAAAGGGCAGCAGAGAAATTAATTTGCTCTTCTTCTTGATAGGTAGCCCATTGGCGAGGGAGTGAATTTCCTTGGAAAATTCTTGCTGTTGAGAGTGCTTAATCCAGTATGAGAACGCCTGGTCAAGTTCTGCTGGAGTCAAAGGGGGCACATTCGTGGTGGATTTTGTGGACTTGGGGCGAACTTGCTTGTGGACTGGGTGACGTGGTTCCACTGTAGCGACATCTTTACCGGAACGAGTGACGACATGGCACAACTTGAGATCTTGGCGACATTTGAAACTTTTGACAAATCGGAATATGAATGCTGTTATTCTGACAAGTTTTAGTAGAGATGAATATCGGTGCAGGATTGAATCATTGAATTCTATCATTGAATGGAATACGGTCGGTTTTGGTTTTCTTTCTTCACTGGCAGCTAAGGAGTGATTGAGTGGGACACAGCATTGGGGATCAGGTATTCCGTTCTTGAGCCATGGAGGTCCTTCCCACCAAAGGGGGTGGTAGATAAGATCCTTTACAGTGATTCCCCGTGACGCGCAATCTGCAGGATTTTCATCTCCTCGGACATGTCCCCAACGCATGGGCGGAATTTTCTCATGGATACTTGTGACCCTGTTGGCCACGTACGTCTTCCATCTTAAGGAGTCAGACCGGATCCATGCAAGGGTAACGGTCGAATCCGTCCATGCCGTTATTGAATGAATCGGAACTTTTACTGCTGATTGGACGGCGAGTGTAAGGTCGGCGAGAAGACTGGCTCCGCATAGCTCAAGACGAGGCAAGGATATCTTCTTCAAGGGCGCCACGCGAGTTTTGGATGTGACAAGTGAGATAGAACTATTTTGACCATCGTAGGCACAAAAATAGACTGCGGCTGCATAGGCGTCCTCCGAGGCATCGCAGAACCCGGCGAGGTAGTACTTGGTGGTGGTAAAACTAGGGACATTGAGACTGGGGCACAACAATTGAGAGCCTTGCAAAAAATAACGATTGATGGAGAGTTTGACTAAACCTTCGAGGTCAGTGCGAAATGCATTCCATTGATTGTGAATCTCCATCGGTAAAGATTCGTCCCATCCCTGCTGCAGTTTCCAAATTGATTGCATTATAATCTTGCCATTGATTATGACAGGGGCGAGCCAACCAACAGGGTCAAACAGGCGAGCGATCTCAGAAAGAATGGACCGCTTGGTTACTTGAGTAGTGGATGGAGTTGGCAAAACCATAAAGGTGAATTGGTCTGCTTTAGGGTTCCATCGAATGCCAAGAGTCTTGATCGAGGAATCAGTGTCAAAGTTTAGAAGAGATTGCGTCTCTCTCATCTCAGGCGGTAGGGTATCTAATACGGCTTGGGAATTCGACGACCATTTTCGTAGGCTCATCTTTGCGCTTTCCATCATCTTGATCAATTGATGCTGGGTTTCAATTGCCTCCTCGACTGATGGTTCTCCAGACATCAAGTCATCAACAAAGAAATCGCGGAGGGCAACTTCTGCTGCTCGAGGGAAAGAGTCCTTCTCCAGGGTTGCAACTTCCTCCAAAACTCTGGTGGCTAGGAAGGGGGCTGCAGCAGTTCCATATGTGACGGTGCGAAGTCGGAAATGCTGCACTGGTTTGCTAGGGTCTTCACGCCATAAAATGCGATGAAACTCTCTGTCAGGCGACGAAAGCAGGATCTGCCGATACATTTTCGCGACATCGGCTACAAAGGCAATCTTGTGGATTCTAAAACGAGTCA